TTATATCGGTAGTACTGTGATAGAATCGATGTAGTGTAGTATCTTCTTGACCCGATAAGTATCATTTGTCAATATTGACGGGCTATTGGGTGATGGAATGGTGTCAGTAACTATGGAAACTGCATGGCTATCACCCTTTGATCAGTGTAATCTGGCACGCAAGAGAGTTTGATGTAGAATGGACGTGGAGACAAACAAACAAACCAAACAAACAATACAGTGAAATGCATCTTGAAAGACCAGATTACGATTGAAGTTTCGCAAAACAAACAAAAGGGTGTTCATGCTTCTGACAAAGCCAGCGGGATGTTGGAGGGGTGGCGAGGTTTGTTGCAATCTAAACAAGACTAGGGAAGTCTAGTAAAGCTGGTCACAGAGCACACAGCATCCTATTCACTTGATTCCGAATGGCTATTCACTGGAAGTCTTTATGTATCTAGACTACACGATGCGCCTGATTTAGTCCATGCGTTTGCTTTGGCCATATACGGGGTAATCCTGTAGCACGTACTCCATGTTTCACATGAGTCGGGGGCTAGATACACAGAGGACACTAGCTAGGGCACTCTTTAGACAAGCAGCAATTTCGGTGTCAAACTTACACTTGTGGTGTCAATTTATTTACTTGCATGCAGACAAATTATTCAATATAAAAAGCGAACGATGTTGATTTCTCACCCGTCGTTTTTTTCCCCAAACGAATGCCCGTGATTATGTCATAAGTTGCTCATAGCTCCATTTTCATATAATTTCCACACAATCTCTATTAACAAAAATTAGTTTAAATCCCTTTAAAAATTGTGTCATATCCCGGTGAGTCCGAATGGCCTATTCCTTTCGATCAAAACCTAAAGCAATTAAAAATAGTGATTAAACAACTCAGGGAGCCAAAAACAAATAACCTGAAAATTCTTAACACACTCACTCGCACGATTCCCCCAAGTGCCAAGCTTCCCCCAAGTCACTTCAAGAGGCTCTTCTTCGACCGGTTCGGGTTTCCTCCAATTTTAATGGACTGTCAGGTATCAACACTGTAATCACCTGCCTCTCATCCCCTGATCATATTTTTCTTCTCAAATTACAAGATGGACATCAGCAGCTACGCGTTGTATGCGGTCAATTTCCCCATCCTTGACGGCAAGGATAATTCTTGTGGCGTGGTAATGGCTGGTCGTTGTTTGACTTGACCGCATGGGAGTGCTGAAAGGTGTGACGGTGCAAGCCTCGTTAGCTCCGCCCAACAGTACTAATTCGTCGATTCGTGTAGAAATCCGTTGTCGTATCGTGTAGAGAATCATGTCGTATCTCATGCGAGAAAGTGAGGCTTGAGTCCATAAGCATGAATTAGGTTTGCGATAAAGTCAACGAATCTCTTGCATGCTTACATTATGAAACTTGACTTTTGAATACTTCCCATTTAAGTTTAGACACAGATCATGTGTTGAACGGTATACTTGTCTTAATTAGGTTTGTTTTATGTGTATGATAAGTATTGATTATCTTTTTTATGTGTAGGATTTACATGTAAATACAACATTTTTTTGGTGATTAGCACGTTTACTATGGCCATCTTTCATTTGAGGCTTTTTGAATGAAAGTGTTAATGTTCTCTTCCCCACCATACACAACTGAGACAGATTTACCGCTTTTAGAAGACAAATTACTGTTTTTGTTTTATTTTAAATAAAATGTTTTATCAAAGCTGTATTTGGTATCACAAAGACCCCATTTGAGGTTTAATCCGATGCCAATGTCCCTACGTCATTTTTTATTCTCTCATTTAGTTTTTATCTCTAAATGTTCCCCAAAACAATGTCATTATAAGACGAGCAATATACAAACCACACACAGTCTCCGAATTATGAAAGCACTTTGTGTTACTTAATTGCAACTGAGATAATATTTGTGTCCAGTACCAATCAAATATAAATGCTTATTAACGCTCATTTGTTCTCCTCTATCCAGTCTGCAATTCCGCTCAGTCTCTTGTGGCATTGATCTGGCATGTACAAACATGTTTAATCAAGCAATATTCCTTCCATCAATTTCTCTGTAAAACATATTTGCACACCTGGTATTAAGCATGTGTTTACACAGCGTCGAGTTTTCCTTGATTGTCATAATACACGGAGGCGTATTATTAGGCCTAGGCACGCTTCAAATTAGCTCCGGCGAATTTAACACCGCTGCGCCACTGTCATATTTTCTGTCGATAACAAAAAGACACTTGTCCCCTATCTGTCTTTACTCGTTAGAGTAAACAATTCACTCGAAGCGATCGAACAAAGGGACAAACTGCGATTTTGTCCCGATTTCGATCGATAAAAGCTTGTGCATTTCGTCCTGGGAATAATTGGCACTTTTGGGAAGCAATCATAACATTTTACCAGTATGCATTTCAAGTGGTGTTACACCAAAGGTTGTAATATGTATCTTCATTTTTTATCCGGGCATGGCAGTTGTGATCCCACTTGCATCATCACTAGAAAAAAAATTGTGCGATAAACATTAGTAAAAGCATAAGTGAATTCTACACCGAGATCTCGGTCCATTATTTTGTGAAGCATTTTTTCAATTTACTCAGTTCTTTCAATCAGAAGTTGATATACACCAATTAACTTGAGGGAAAGGATTCCCAAACTTTTTTCAGTAAGCTATCCAGTAGATGCTGTCAGAACAGTCATTTTCCGTAAAAATTTTACAGCACTTGTTGACGCTTTCGCCATGGTCTATAATTTTTGAACAGATTTGATGATTAATTATACAAGACAACTGCATCTCGATTTTGACCAATCAGCGGGCGCTTTCTATGTCGGGTCTTCGGCCATTCGCCCGTTGGCACGTCTAGACATGGATACAAAAAAACCCGCTAGACACAGCAACACAGTCCGTGGTCACGCGCTCTGTATTATGTTACGCGACACGCGCGGCTGTTGTTGTATTACAAAACACTGTATTCGAATTGACCAATCACAGTACTAGTCCTGGTTTGGGATTGAAATGACGTCACGATTTTAGTAAAGTCGACTCCGATTGGCTGGCGCGCCTTGCATACAGCTACATGTTTAGACATATCGGACGTTAAACAGGAGACTTGGCTCCGTGGATAACGGGCGGATACTCAGACTAGTAGTTCTCAGGCATTTGTGAAATACATTGTATGTGAAACGTGATGTAATTGAGATTTCAGGCCCGAATGCCATGACATTTGAAAGACAAACTTTCACAGACGTGGCAGATCGATAACAAATGGAAGAGGTGGGTTTTTTTGTATCTCAAGCACGAATCGAATGTAGGCCTAACCTTCTCATACAATTGATTTTCACGCCCCAAACAATATTGTCTTTCCACTCGCTTGGAATAACTTGCAATTCATTGCTATCTCTTGACGCTATCTCCATTCCATGTTTTTTTCTGATTCCTAGGCTTCCTGGCTGCAAAGACCGCAATTCATTCGATTGTGCAAAGGGAAAGTTGTTGAAACGGCAGGTCAAGCCAATTAATTTTGTCACAGTTATTCAACAAAATTGGTCCAATGGGAAATACTCAATCGTGGGGGAAAACCCTATTAAAAAGCCAGTTACAAGTAGTCATTTGCATCGTCTAATGTTTTGTCGGATAACCTGTTTTGGATAAGAAAATATTGTCTGTGTTCTTGGCAAATTTCGGTGCCTACAGGTCCATGAAATTGGTTCTGTATTTCACAATCAGCGCTATCCGTACCGACCTGTCGATCGGGTGTACGTGTTGCTCGCTCAATCAACGCAAAGTAGCGATGCTGTTTATTTTCATGTTTTGCCCGGGGCAAAATTCGGCGCTGGAACGCCGCGGACGAAGATTGGCGTAAACATTTTACCATGTAAACCCGGGGCGCATTGAACATCGCCCGTAAATGAATCCCTTTTAGACGGTGTTGTTATACAGTCTCCCTCTGCTGCATGGAGATTAACGAGGAAATCAACAGCATTTGAAATGCCGACGGCTACTGTAATAGTAAGCAAGGGATGAAACCTGTGTCGTAACATGGCGCAATAAGCTCCCATGTTATGAATATGTTTCATAAATCCTCGCGGTCAACCAGCCGTGGATGCATTTTCTAGTTGCTCAATAATTAATTAAAAGAAAAAAACGGTAATTTTCCTGAAAAGGGTAATCCTTCTCGTGTCGGTTTGTCATGTATTGTATTGGTACACGTAGTAAGTTGGGAACAAAAGCATCGAAAATAAAGTTCCAAACTAATCAACAAGGACAGATGATCAAAATGGACTTTAAACATATCGGTTATCTAAGAGTAATTAGAATAGAACCATACTTTGTTATTGTACCGCATGGCACTGATACCCAAGATTGACTCCAATATTTAGCTAAGTCTTAAAACAATATTTTCAACGAACTTGCTCATAATAATCTCGGGCTTACGGTTTATAAATTATGAAATACAAAACACAAATGCCATGCAGATTTCTTAATCATTACAGCCGACCCAATAGTGGGAAATAATTTAAGCACTATTCATTTTTTGAAATGAAACACATATACGTTGAAGTTGAAATGACACCTGTTTAGACTGACATAACCAGGACATTCTCTAATTGAGAGTGTATCGTCCGAATCATCAAGAAGAACTCTCGCCACTTTTTTGTTTTTCAAATGCCAATTTTTTTTAACAACCGGTTGTCATGTTTTCTTTCTTTTGACTATAATTTACCCAACTCATCATTGATTCTCGATGAGACAAACAATGCCAAATGATAAATGTTTGTAAATCTTGTCGTGAGTTGACAATAATGGGTTTACTTTTTACATATTTGTCAACATGTGACTTTTCCTAAAATATTGTTAACGAAACCATCACCCTTTTCATCCATGCAGCCTATAAAATTGCTAAGAGTATTATTTGGACTGCAGGCATTTGACTCTCTTGAGGAAAAGAGGGATTATGAAGAATGAGGAGTGTGTCGGTAATTCGGCCATCATTCTTTGACTTGAATCTTACGTACCTGTGTTCGTATAGCTTTGTAAATGAACCCATACATCACGAGCATGACGGTGAAGGGTAGAATGATAACAACCAGACAGTTAAAGCCCATGTAGTTCATGTCAATCACGTCCACAAATATACACTGCGGTTTATCAGGCTCTCCCTGATTCCACCCAATGACCGGTAGAAATCCAACAATCCCAGCGAGCACCCAGGATCCCAAGATGGTGACCAGTGCTCGCTTCTTGGTCACGATGGAGTGATACTGCAGCGGGTATGTTACGGCTATGAACCGGTCCACCGTCACCCCTATCAAGCTGAAAGTTGAGGTGGCACAGAGACAGAGCAGGAAAGTCAGCATGATCAAGCAGGCATGGAAGTTATGAGGTAACCCCTCAGCGGTCAAGAGGGCAAAAGGTACCCCTAGAAGACCCACCAAGAGGTCCGCTATCGCCAGCGAGACGATGAAGAAGTTCGTGACCGTCTGAAGACGCAGCGAACGGGCGTAGGCCACCAGAACCAAACTGTTTCCCAAAAGGGCCACCACGGAGATTAAAATCTCCATTGAGAAATACGCCACGGTGACTTGAAGTTGTATGGTGTCGTCTCCCGAGGACATTGTTGTTTCTGAATCCATCTTGAAACCTATCTTCAGCTAAGTTCTCAGGTATCCGTATTTCAGTGTCACACAACGGAACATTAGGACTTCTCCTATTCAAGGTTGTATACAGGTGTTTGCAGGTGTTATTCTTCCTTATGCAGCTGTGTACCAACCAGAATGCTTGAGGTAATCACGAATGATTTCCCGACGTGTGATTCCAGCAAACATAAATCTCACACTCGTCCAGGGCAGTGTTATAATTCCGAATGATGTACAGCCAGTAGCTCACACGAGTGACAGGCTTGAACTCCCTCGCTCTCCAGACTGTTAGCAAAACCCCATCCAAAATTGATTTATATCCGCATCTAATGCCTTGCTCAAACCCTCAGAAATAAAATCCGCTGAGGTTATTACTGAAGGGACGTGAGTCAATCTGGGAGAAACGCAACTTGTGGATTAACTTCGACGTGGAAAAATGACCTCCAGTTTATTTCAAAATAATTGAAATGCCCTTTAGCGACACAGTGTGAAAGTTAAATGTTATGGTATTTTATAGGCTGCCTTGGCCAGTTTCACATCACTAAAGAAATTCAGCTTCCACGAATAAAAAACACCAAATCTTGTTCATCGTAATGTCTTCATCCAGCTCACATGTTATATACGTTTCCTTCCTTCGAATCCACTCTAAGTTAAACAAGAATAACACGTCCAAGCTAGGCGGATAACGATAGGTGACAGAATCGTCAAGCTGCACCAATTACCACATCTGTGGCCAGAAAACAAGAACTCTGGAACTCTGGATGCTTCAGTCCGATCAGTTGTCGCAATCAAGCCTTCAAGGAGAATGATATGATATAATATTATGCTGGTAACACTAACAGGCTGTGGAGGTCCACGCAGAACGTGTGTCCCAGACAACTATGTCCCTGCATGTGTTCAGATGGTCCTCAGCAATGGTATTCACGACTGTACCGTACAGAACAAGTGCCACACCACTAGGAGAAAAAATACACCTGTTATAAGCACATCGAGGCTGTATCGCTCCACGCAGAGATTGGTGCAGGCTGATCATGTGTGATATATGGCTGGTACCCACCCCACATCTGTCACCTGTAAATTGACCTTGATTTGTCGCCTGTCGAGATGTCGTGACCACAAGGGCGTCTTATTATTAGAAACCAGTATTATTAGAAACCAGTTTGCTGTTTGACTTATTCTCTCTCGTGTCTGCGTGAGATGATTTGTGGGGATAACGGTGTGTTGGTTGGATATTAATAAGTGGCGCAACTCCACCGATCACAACTCTCGCAGTTGATGGCATAACATAATAGCTCAAATGTTTGGGTTGTTGTTGGAGGATGACTTGACTTGAAGATGAAACCATTCCCGTCTTTTCACTGTAGATACTGTTGAGAAGAAGTTAAGTAATACATGAGATGCATGTCCCGACGGTTTTAAATAAGCATCTTCCTGCAGTAAATGGAATACTGATTATTTATGGCAAGTCTTGTGAACTTGTTTTTAAACAAAAAAACTTTTAATTAAAAGATCTTGAGGTGAAAAATAATGAATGTTTATAATGCTCACACATCCACCTAATAGTAGGCGCTCATGGCGCTAGAATAGAAAATAATTAACAAACGAGAAAACAAAAAAACTGTATTACTATGCACAGACTGACAAGCAGGAAAACTTAATGTGCTGTGGTGTTGTAGGCTGGATTATAGTAGTGTGTTAGGAGCCTTTTTGAATGAGCTGAGAGATATTCTAGATCGGATTTCCCATTTATTCATAGTGAATATTATTAAGATGAGATTGCCAGGTATAATCCATACCGTGGTGGATGGAAGACCATCGAAGGTCTTGTGTTACTATTGATGGTTATTCTTTTCTTGATGAGATAAGTGAAACTTTTAGACCACACGTAAAATGTGAACGAAATTAACATATTTGATGCCATACGGATTTAGTTGAAGCTCATCTATAGAACCTATTTTGTGAACAGTAACCTTTTTTAACATTCTGCCTACTAATCTAGGAATTCACGTGCTTCGAACATCAACTGTATACCGCAAAGGGTTTGTGCGATGCACATGTACACCAGAAATATTTGAATATTCATTGCTATTACTTGTTCGTTTGCCAAACGCCCACATGCAATCCTAAGCCCCGCCCACGCCAGCTCTCATTCTCAGTTATTCCAGTGAGTAGTCGGTAGTCATTGTACGGCTGGCTATACACTAATTAACATGGGTTTAATGAGTTAGGTATTACAACACAGAGTGCATCGTGATATTTTTTAATAGCATCCTGTGTAATTATTTGCTTGGATGTTCAGGCTTGGAGGAAGCACGGAGAAAATTGATTGCATTACATAAAGATCGACGTTGGAACACGGTCTGGTGTAGATAATCAATTTTTGTCATTCACAAGGATCAATTCTTATCACTCATGTTTTTGATCCAAATTGGACCACATTTTATTCTGACGTATGTTATCGAGTTGTCATTGAACTTTTGTTGATAATTCGATCATTTTCTTTGATGTGAACTCGGTATATGGATTACAAACTTCGTTTTTCGGTTAAATTGTTTAGTTTTGCACGCCAATCGAACTTATTTAAAAAGTACTTTACAAAAATTTGTTGAAAAGCTTTTGAGAAACAAATCATAAGTTTTTACTTAGACGGGACTCGAACCCCTAACGCTGAATTTTATATAAAGTTCCATTCGTTGTGCTAGTTGCTTTTCTATTTTTTTTTTTAAATAATAGCACAGACTCTAAAAAAAAAAAGATTTTAAAAAAGTTGATTTTAAACACATTGGGTCTCTATGACAAATTATAAGTTATATTTTTCTATTTGGGGATATAAAACAAAAATATGTGTCTGTATTTTCGCTTGTCATGCTAAAATTGCAATGGACATCACCGTCAACTCTTAACTTGTATCATATTTGCTTTGATGGAACTAATAATCAATGGAAGCTTTTGTTTTTCCAAAAACGACAACCGTTTTATAACAAAAAGACAAGAGCATGAAAACATTAATGTTATTCCAAGTTTACACATCTCACTTAAATGTCAAAAAGTCGCTTTTATATTTCTGACATTTACTCTTCGATTTTACGGCGCAGCAGTAGGCTTAAGTAAGAAAAATACGGCGCACACCGTCGAAGGCTTCCCGAAGTGCCTCGCGTATAAAGTTACCAATTTCGCGCCTTTAGATCCGACCCTCTTGTGATAATTTACGACTGTTGCATGTAGATTCTCTCGCTCCTTAATTGAACACATAAACCATAGGTAATATTTGAACCGTGTAGTTTAACTTGTCCGGCGCTTGATATAAAAATGCGCATTACATGATCAGGACTATATAGCGAGTAAAACGTATCTGTATGACCTTTCGTAGTCTTTATGACCTTTCGTAGTACATGTAGTTTGTGTGGAAAATACATTACAGCACGTACTATTTGTACATTCGTACAGCATTTGGCCACTCCACATATACTGAAAGAAAAAAAAGAAGCGCTTGATTATCCCTTTTCAGGCTTCTCTGATTAAACGCATTCTGAAACTTCATCGTCATGTGCGCGGTACAAGCCAACCTCGTCCCTGAATAAGTAATGCAATCAGCTTTTATACAGTTTTGTTTTGTTCTTCATCAACCTAATCGCCTCCAAACGCAAAAATCCAAAGATGGTCAATACTATATGCAACCTCGGACCAATGTATAACATTTGCTTTTGCTGCAATTTTCAGAAATAAATGGATTTGGAGGATTAGTATATATGTTATAGCAAATATTGTTAAACTGACTTGTTTCACGCTTTGGGCTTGTTTATGCTGGAAAAACCAAGAAAATCAATCATTTTCTCGTAGTCTGGTTCCCCGACTCCACTTACGATAAAACAGAGAAACGTAAAGACTTTGGGGAATTGTAAGGTCAAAGAATCACTCTAGCAGGTTTGTACCCATTCACAGGTGTGTCATCTATTGCAAAGAAAATGCGGAATAACTAAATATGAAATAATAGGAGCAGTTTTGAAAAAAAGCCAGTTTTTTTCCAACGCTGGTCGGCCGACCAGCGGTGGAAAAATACAGTTTTTCTTGAAAATGTCAGCACACCAGGTGCCATAATTTTACAGGATGCTTTGGACTGTCAATCCCTAACAATTCAGTAAGGTATTTTGTGATAATTTGATCATTTCGTTTTTTGATTTTTGCAAATGTTTCTTCCCTTTAAGGGAGGTCGACTGCCCGAAAGATAAGGCTGAACACCACAATAATCTGTCGAAACAACTTGAAGTTCTGGATGTGACATTGTAACGCTATATAAAGGGCTCATGTAATTATTTTCTTTTTAATGCAATCCTTGACTTGAAAATGCACCTTTGTGTCCCATTTTACCTATTTTTTTAATCTTCATTTTTCCATTTTCAAGGGTATTGTTGCATATTTGTATTTTATGTTAATGCAAATTTTCATATTCATGAGCAAAATTGTGATGTCATTTTAGGCAGAAACCTCAATGTTACAGCTATTTCAGCACCAAAATTTGCCAGATTTTATGACATTTGGCTGTCATCAATTTTCTTGACTTTGATGATTCGTTGTTAGTACATGACACTAAGCCAATGAGCAAACTTTTCTTGCAAATGTTTTCAATGAGCAAGTTTTTGGGTTCACAATTTGAACAGAAAAAAACCCAGGCTGAAAATGTCTTCCTGAAATAACAACAGCGCCCTCAGTTGTGAGGAAAATCATAAAAATTGTTTAAATGTTTAAAGAAGTGCACTTAACCAAATTAACCAAAAAGGGATGTTAATAGTTTTCATACATTTAAGAAGAGTAGAAAGTTGCATATGTTCCTTTATGTTTATGTAAAATTCATGTCATTAGCCCTTTTAGTGAAGAATTGGAATTTTGAGCCTTCATGAGCTGCAGGTGTTAGGGATGTATTACATTTTGGCTCTTTTGGATTTCAAATAAAATACATTTCTTTGACATAAGGGTGATGTTTCGAAATGGAGACATTTTGCGGAACTGCTACGAATGAATTTGATTTCACTGTGTGGACCTCCAAAACAGTATATCGGGGTGTGACTCTTAATACGTGAATTTCTATCGCCGTGATGCTATCAATAAAAAGAGGGTTATATACCCCATTTAAGAGTCTGTGAATGCAGGTACAAGGCATAACTTTTTATCGGTATGGACCCCATACCACCATATTAAAGTGTAACCATCATTTCGTACAGTTTCATATCGTTATACGTGGACTCTGCATATGGAAACATGACTTCACTATCTCAGTGCGTCATTTGCTGTTTCTACCTCGTCATCGCCTGACACTAGTGGGCGCTGTTAATAATATACGATACGGAATTGCATGTGCCAATTGGTCGCGTTGTTCATGACAACCTCTATACATTCACGACGATGATTTTGTCAACAAAAGATAACGGGGGGAGAGGAGGCGTCACATCCCTATACACTCTCAAGAGACGGGTACATCCAATATATCACACTCTCAGAACGACTTGATTCCATTTCACGAAAATCTCTCTTACAAAATCTAGATGGCGCACTTCACACCTCATGAGTCTCCCGTGACTTTTCCCTTGCCTCCCTCCGGAAAAAAAATTGCTCTCTTACTTTATCGTGGGTGTTCTAAAGTACTCACGCCCTCTGTTGGCACTAAGTGACGTACACTTCACTTACATGGGCGTCGCCAGGATTTTTTCTAGAGGGGGGCAAAAATATGTTTTGCCAAAAAATGCTTGTATTTCTCAACACATTCTCGATTTATCAGTTTTAGAGGGGGGGGGGCAGGGACGTTTTGCCCCCCCCCCCAACTCATTAAATTTACACCACTTTGTCTTCGCGCCTCTTTTTCTTTTTTCTTTTTTTTCCTTTTTTATTCTTCCTTTTTTTTCTTCTTTTTTTTTCTTTTCCGGGGGGGGGGCAAGTGCCCCCCCCTTGCCCCCCCCCCCTCGCGACGCCCATGTTCACTTAGGACTACTGCGTTTAGATCTCAATAAATGATAAAATGGTTTTGTTTCTGTTACTTCTGTTTTTGTTGCATCTGTTTTTGTTCCATGACGTACAAACACCTAGAAGGTTGTCAACGTACGTTGGTAAGGTCCGGTGTGCAGCAACTTAATTCTGGATTGGGTTTTGAAGTCAAATCTTGGCGTCTAGGGCCAGTTTGAAAGTCTTAACGTCAGGAGCAGAGCAGATGTCAGGGTCAAGTTGATTCCATTCAAGGGTGACCTTTAGGAACATTGAGAGACGAAAGCAGTCATTATTTGTGGTGATGACTTTATATGAGAAAGGTCCGGTCTGTCTGTACAAACCCCCCTTGATGAGGTGATGATGTTCAGCTGATGTTTTAATGTTACTTGGTGTGAGCCCATGAGTTCATGTGTGGAGTGTGGTTAACCTTAGTTTGGACTGAATTGAAGGGAAAATGTGACTGGAAAGATATGCACAGAATGAAAAGGAAACATAATACAAAACTATGGCTTCAAACATGTTGACATGAAGTGTACGTGTCACTCATTTTTTAATTTTTTTTTTATCGCAAATCCACTGTGAGCAATTGACTTGAAGCTGCAGGTCAGCTGGCGCCGGTTCAATATTCCCGCCAGGACCACTCATGTTGATTTATTTAAAGTCTCTACCCGATTGCTATTAGGTCTTCTCTGGACTTGTTTTCCCCTGTGATTTTCGTCCCATCTCCGTCAGCTGAAGTGTGCTTCCTTGTCTATGCTCTCAATTCTAAATTTCACAAAAGATTCATAACCGATTACACTATTAGTATTTAAACGGTTTCCAGTTCTGGTTTCATAGTCTTTTTTATTGTGCGGACTGCGGCCTTATTTGCCAGAACGAAAAAAAGGGGGGGGGAATCAAATCCGCCTCAGTAAGTTTGGCAAGAAAAGGGCATTAATGCATCCGGAAATAGTCCAAATATGTATGAGACTTTCAGGTGCAGAATTGATGAATAATTGCGGTCCGGCCCGCACGGACAGCCTCTTTGTACCTATCCGATTGGCGGTTTGACTTGCTAAAGCCTCACCTGGGGTCCAGTTTGCAGGGGGAGATTTAGGGGACATGTTTTTGCTTGAGGGGACACTAAATGCATTTTTAACAATAAAAACCTCATACCTTTCCCAATTCTAAGGGGGGGGGGGGCACAATGGGGAACAGGCCAGGGGGGAATACCCCCTTCCGTATAGCTAGCTACTCCCGGCTCGGCCAAAAATTTGACTGAGTTGCTACCAAGCCCCCTTAAATCTGGTCTGGTACCAGCATGCATATTCTTGTATGCATTTTATCAAGGCAGTCTTCATGTGAAACGCTACACACATTGTAATAGTTAAGTTTATAGTCTTTTCTTTGCTCGGAAAAAAATCATTTACGCATTTTGATAGCAATGCCAAAAAAGGTATACTTTAGTTTGTCTTTAGGCAAAAAAATAACTGCTTTTATTGAGGATTGTCATACAGCTCATTCAGATTTTATAACTAACTTTATCTGTTACTTGTCGTGGGTCGATAATTTGGCACCGCCTTATTATCTCATGCTTGAACAATTTCTTCCGTAATTTTTATGCCCTATAATGTCCTTTTTGTGTGACGTAAGTCCGAGACTTGAGAAACATTGTACCGTCTTTGCAAACCATTTCCTGTTAGTTTGATTGCTTTTTAAGGTGTTTTCCTTGAGATTTTACCCTTATGTATATCTTTTAATATCAACGTGTTATGACATCAGTTGCTTTTGTGGAAACCTCAGAAAACAGGAGAATAAAGCCCAAAGCACGGAACTTTTATTTCAAACAAGATATTAAATATTCATTCAAAAATCTGACCATGTAGAATAACACCCGCAGGTCTTTTGACAATTTCGTATTACGCATATTTTCTTTTTCAGTATCGTTTTCTTTTGGATGTTGAAACGTCCCCATGAAAGGGCTTTGTGATAAATCAAGAGAGAAAAAAACACCAGGAGGGGAATAACAGAAATCAGGAAATTAACGTTTGAAGCGAAGATGTTTGTCACGGTGATTATGTTGAGCGGTCACAAACCTACGGAATATTGCCTGGATTATCATGTGCATGCGTGTCGTGCGTAAGTTTCAGTTCAAACCACGGTCTTTCTGTAAAGTCTCAATCTTCCCAAGGGATTGGAAAATTACACCAAATTACTTCTTAACATCGGCGACCGAGAGAAACGGGAATTAAGATGTCTAGTGGATACCGTTGTCATGGCGACCATGGTGTTAGATTTTAGGGCAAGGTTAAGCCGACTTCTTTTATTGTCAGAGAAAGACCCAAATAACAGGATTACAGGTTTTAAGGGGAGGATTCGAAATGGCATACTTGTAGAAAATGAGTCAAAAGTGCCCAAGCTCTTTGTGCAGTTCAACCCCAGATGTATCGGGAAAGATGGAAACCATTCCAAATGAGTCAGAAATTGAATTCCCAGCCACTTGGTCCCGTTGATGCGTAATGCCCCTTCTTTGACGGAAACCGCCTTTTTAAAAGACGAAAAAGCTTTGAAATTAAAAGGGTTGAAGTGCTTCTGAATTGAACGCGGTACACCGAGTGCATAGAAGCTGTTACTCATTGTTCTGATGCACTTTCTATCGAAAAATAAATTCTATAATTGAACCTTGTAAGCCCAAGCTTAAAAACCTGGAGAGGAAAGTACAACAAATTTCTGCTGTCACGATCTTTTAATTGAATTCTGGACGCTTTATATCCACGTTTTCAATAAAATAAACCCCATTTTTGTCAACTTTATGTAAAACAGGACTGTTTTAATAGACAATCGTTGAAGGTAAAATACAGCATTTGCCTTTGCTGTAATTTTCAGAAATGGATGGATTGGAGAACAATATGTTATAGAAAAGATTGTTACACTGACCTGTATAAAATTGTGTGTGCATGGATGTTGGAAAAAACAAGAAATCATTGCTGTTCTGGTAGTCTGGTACCCTGACCCCACTTCATACGAAACGGAGCAATTTATATATGACGGGGAATTGTTGGACCGGACTATATAGCTGGCTTTCACCCGTACAGGAATGTGTAACCGATTGCAAACAAATTGTGGACTAACTAAATTTGACAAGCTGGGGGCAGTATTTGAAAAAAATAAGTATTTTTTCCAACGATGGTCGGCTGACCATCGTTGGAAATTATTTTTTTTTAAAAGCCCTTTTTCTTGAAACTGACAGTACACCAGGTGTCATCATTTGGACGCTTGAGATTAATAATCACTTACAGTTAAGTGAGATTTTTCATAATAAGTAATTTTGGTAGTTCTATTTTTTGTTGTTTGAAGTTGTTGTATACTTGTATCTGTATTAAAAATCAAGGCAATAGTCATGCAGTTTCTCTTATTATTATAATTTTTTTTACACGTTAAGCATTGCAGTCAACCATAAAAGAGCATTTAATTAAACGTTGCAAATCACATCACAGGGGCCATTTTCACTCACATATTGATAGAAATGCATTCCCCTGTCACATTTTCTACGACCCATATTGTATTGTATATAGTGCGACCCACGCCCCCCCCCCTTTCAAAATCGATATACATGACACCGTAACATTAGATCAGGGTGCAAATATTCTCGTAGCTTATAGAGCACATTTACATTCAAATTGAAACCGAGGACGTGAGTTTCATAAATGTCATGTTTGATTTGGCAAATTCTCTTCACCCATCGCATTGCTAGTATGCTAGGCCTATCCCGTGTTTTCAGTTCTCAATTTTGAACCAATTTGTGTCTTTTTGCAGCAGGGCATAGTACGTGTTACTCATGGTTGCCATGTTTGTTGCGTATTAGATTGCCAAATTGTATCGTACTTTCAATTGTTCAACTTTCCTTAATACAGATTAGACTGGGTATTTGACCCTTTCCATATTTTTCTGAAAAAAATGCCATGTTTAAATAATTCCACTGGGTATTTGACCCTTTCCATATTTTTCTGAAAAAATGCCATGTTTAAATAATTCCTTTGCCCAGAGCGGATCAAAAATAACGTGCTTGCAGTTTCAATACCCATGGTAAAAAAAAAAATGGTTATCTAAACAAATTTTTTTTTAGTCATTAGGTGCATTTCAGTTTTGTTCTATACATGATATATCGGTGACTTTGTACCATTGATTAGTTGTGTGCCCTTCCTCTTGAATTATGGGTCCCCAGAGAAAGCTCCTTAATTGCCCTTTTCTCGTCGCCATGGTTGTAAGTTGGCGTAATTGTGGTCTCGCCTGAAATGTCACGGCTGTTGGCAAATTAACTTTGTAACTGGTATTGTCCGGGAATTGTGAACCTTGACTTGAGCGATGTAGGTCGGTGTGTGCTAATTGTGGACTTTGAGAAGCTGTTTCCACGTAAGTAACTCATTTAGTATGATTGCTCTGTTGAAGCGCACATCCCTGAGGGTACATAAAGCGTTTAAGGGCGGAGTACTGGGGCAAGAAAATCGTGTATATAACAAACCTGATGAAGCAGATAAGTGAATGGCAACTTGGGTTAGGTCTAATAATATCTCTAGTAAACCTCTATTATGGCCGACTCGCTTCACAACACCACTTCGATAGAAATTCAAATGCTATATCAGTAAGTTCAGCAACACATCGAATCAAGCACGCAGTTAAAAAAAATCTAGTTTCTTTAAAAGAACAGTAAAATGGTTCTGAAGTATTCTTTAGAACCCAAGGTGGCCAACCGTTCGCGATTTTTTTCCACACCACATGCTCGCTACTATATATAGAATGATCATAAAACCCCATTATTAGTTTTGTGAGTTTTGTAGGAACGTGAAGCAATAAAGCTTCAATTAAACCACAAAGATAAGATTTTTAAGCCAGGTTCAGTGAAGCAACACAAAATTGTGCAAGATTTTAATTTCATGCCACCAGCAAGTGCAACTTAATTAACATTCATGTCAATAAACTGTGCAAATATATATGAGCATTATTTTAGTTCATATTGTTTGGGTGAATTTCATTGATATAACACATTCTTCTTTGATCAAGTATTCATGGCATAGAATTGATATAAACTAAAACATAAGTGCTAACAAAAGTGATCTTAACAATTAAGCCAGAACATAGGCCTAGATTCAAATTTTATTTACATTTTCATATTATACTATACATGCAGTGCCACCATAGGCCAACATTCATGATTCGCTGAATCTATGAAGGCAAAAGGTTCTATATGTCTGATCAGTTTTAATCAATATTATTTACAGCCGTAACGCCAAATGTTTGAGGAATAGTCTTCCTAAAAGAGCTACATAAGACTAGCCTTAATTCAGACAAGAATTTGTCAGTGATGTTGTGACTGATTCAAGTTTCCTTTTGAGTCCTCAGTATTAGACACGTCCTGCAGTGTAACCGGCACGCACCTCTTGCAAAAGTACCTCATAAAGGCTCTTCTGAAGTCCAAACTGAACCCGTACAGGAAGGGGTTAAGGGTCGAATTCAAGTACGCCAGCCAATAGGAAGCGTCGTACAGTTTCACTGGTACGCAGTTGCAGAAAGCATTGATGGGGAATAGGACAACGAACGGCAGCCAGCAGATCAGGAATAGGACCACGATGATACCTAGAGCTCGCGCGGTTCTGCGGTTGATGGCGGCGTGTTTCAGTTGAACCTTTCTCAACCGTACCTTTCTCATTTCCGCAGCACTGACGATTGTTCCTTGGTTCCCGGCCACAGTGGCTGATACGGACCTCAATGTGATGTCGTCCGTTGGTGTCAGGCACAGCGTGCTATTTTCAAGCATGTCACTGGTATTCATGTCTGGCCCCGTAATACCAACAGCAATACCACTCGTTTTGATGACGTCATTGGGACTCGGACGTTCATTGGATAATGCCGACTCAACTTGAACTTCATTCAGAGATTGCGTGCTGCCCATGTATCCCCTATTCATGTAAGCGGCAGACACGTCATTGGTTGCTATTTCGGATAGAGTAGTTGACAGAATTGTAGTGGCACTCGTGCCCGAATTGTTCAGAACACCATCGACTTTGGTGCTCTGTGACGTCTTGGGCTTATCTATTGGTGAATTTTCAAACGACTCAAGCGATTTGAACTGACTCTTGACCGAGATATACACTTTGACATAGAGGTAAATCATGGCGGCCATTGGCATGTAGTATACCAATATGGCAGAAATGAGCACATAGATTGGGTCTGTTAGGTAGATACAGTCATACTTGCCGAAGCTACCATACACCAGGCGAAAGGCAACGATAGCTGGCACCCAGCAAACGGCTGATGCGACCCATATTCCCGCCACATAGAAGAGCGCCCTCTTGCGGCTGCGTCTACCCATGTGTTTCAGAGGTCTGGTGATGGCCCAGTAGCGATCCAACGATATCATGCACAGGCTCAGCATAGATGCAGTGCAGCACATGAAGTCGAACGTTATCCAGACATCACAGACTACACCTCCCAAAGCCCAGAATCCTAAGATGGAATAGGACGCCATGCAGGGCATGACCACAGCTCCCACAATGCAATCGGCTACCGCCAAACTGATGATGTAATAGTTACTGAGTTTGCGCAGTTTGCGATCGACGATAACCAGCACGATCATCATGATATTTGGGGCGACAGTGATGAGAATCATCATTGATGCGACGAACACGGCTAGGGCGTAAGTTGAAAAAGGTATGGAGTCACCGCTGGGGGTAGACGAAATATTCTCTGTTATCCACATCGATGTCTCGGTGAAGACGGTTTCCATGACTTGAGTTTCCATGGTGGAAAATTGTATTTTCGTGTGAAACGTTTATCGCTATTGCTCCAGCTACTTAATGTCACAGGCTGCGAAGTTTAATACGCTCCCTGCATCAATTTATGACATTCTGGTTTGCATGGCAACGTCTGTGAACGATTTCTTTCTGCAATTAGAGTCTCGTGATTGCCATCCCGACCCTTATAAGGAGCTCAAGCACAGTCTGCGGATTGTCGGCAAATCATCCAATCAGACGACGCGTTATTTGTACGTCACCATCGCGTGATATTAATTCTCGCAGTTATTGGCCAAGAGATCCGTCGCTGCTCCTTTCACCAACGTGCAGTTCGCTTCAGGGAACACTTCAATTGTTCTCCGAGTACTTCACAACAAGGAAAGAACTGCGCCGAATATTACCTGAAATGAGGGGAAAAACACATATTTTGTAATTATCGCTCCACTGATTATTATTGAAACCTTTAAATACCCCACTTTACATGCAAGCGGCTGATCATCATCGACCGATAACGAAGTGTTCCGACTTCGACACCCACAATATCAAACAGTGAAAAGATATTTTATTGCCAGCCAAGATCCAAATCCAACAAGCGAAAATTTCATTTGTTGGGTTATGTTGAATTCAGCATTTTTATGTTAATAGAAAACATGTTATTAAACAAATTATTTATCAATAAAGAACGATGCTGCGCATGAGTGATCACATCTTCATCATTCCATGACATTTTCAGGAAATGGCTTATGACTAAATTTCACAGTTTTCTCAGTATAATCACGCTCGCATTCATTTTTGTTTGGTCAAAAATCACAAGGTGGTTATACAAGCTAGTCTATCATCTTAATGTGAATTAATTCAGTTATGATGGCGGTGACATAAATGAAGGCCTTTCGAATTCATCTTGACAATAAGGGAGTTATCTAGTGTGACAATCATCTTATATACAGCAAACTATTCAGCTCATAGTTACCGACATACATGTACATGTACATGTACATGTACATGTGGGCGCGGATATTCGGGAATTTTACATTGGCTTATCTAGCTCCCAGACCCATGTTCTTGAAACTCAGTGGTTATTTAGTCCGGAGTGCTGAATGGTAACACATAGCAACCGATTAAAACAGGTGTACAAATGAATAGATGTTTTCATCAGATGACGTCGGCCCACCCCCACCTTTACGCGATGTATACGTGGTCAGTGTTTTAAGACGACTGCAGGACGTCACTGTACGCTAAATAGGTCATCTTCGATGGGGAAAAAAACAATCTTGCGCGCTATTTTACACAAAGCAACTTTATCTGAACAATACTTAGTGCAATGCTTTCGTCGTTGTAAGTGGCCCGGGTGCTAGACGTGATAGCAAGCCTGGATTGGTCAATACACCAATCCGATTTGAAATTAAGCTGGCAGTCTGGCCATTACTGGGACGCTTCCATGCCTGAACGCCAGTCACACGTGCGTTTTGTATATCTCGGAACACATCACTCAAGGGGAGTGTATTGTGTGAAATACCGCAGCGAGCTTTGGAGCCTCCCAGTAATAGTGAAAATCCGCCCCAGTAATCACAAAGGGTCTGCAACTATGATTGGTCTATACAGTGACTGGGCTGACACACAGTTTTGTTGAATAATTCAGGAATAAAGGGGATATTGACCAACTGCCCTCGTGAACATCCAAAGCTTACTTAATTGGTTTAAGAGCCTGCAGGATCTTACGATGTGTAAAACCTGGACTTCTGGACATAGCATGAAATATCATCCCCAAAATGTGAGTTGCAATTTCATTACTTCTGATTTAAGTGTATTCAATGATGGTGTTAGCAATGTGAGTAATTATTATAATTAGAAGTAGAACAAAATAGCTACACTTCGTTTTCATTTGTATGTATAAAGCTAGGAAACTGCAAAGTTGTAAATAGGATTTTTTAAAGGAAGACTTCAAAATCTTCAAAGCAAAACCTTCAAACCGACAAAATGTTGCCAGGTTTTTGTCGGATCAATCGGCAGAGAAATACAAATTTCTTGAAATGTATAGTAAATTAATATTGGCCAGTTGCATTATGTTAATATTTATATTAATACAGGTCAGTTGCATTATATTAATAACTGATGCGATTGCTTTAAACCCCATGAGAACAGTTAAAGGGCACTATGCTTTTGCTGTTCAATCAATCTAATTGATTAAAATTACTGTCAAATATCCTGAAGTCGGAGCAAAATTTGTGAGTGTAGCATTGAGTTGCCAAGGGTTTTACAAAAATTGAGGGGGAAAAGATTAGATATGTAAACAGCATCAGGGAGTGATTTTTACAGTGAATTTTAAACTGGGACAACATCCAATATTTCCAGGTTTTTTATGGAATGAGCCCCAAGCATTAACACACACAACGCTCAAAAATAACCTCACATCCTGTTAATTCATTGACAAATGACTTTCAAACGCCACGGCTTCTGAAAGTATATGCATCCTGTCTTATGTCTACTCCAAAATGGCAATAGAATTATCGAACAACCAAGTTTATTGGATATTTTCTTACCTACACGACTGCAAGTGCTGCATAGTGAAGTCTTGACGTACCTTCTACCGTCATACAGTGGCACGGCACGGTACTTGGTACTGATGACATCTAGCTTGAGTTCGGTGGTGTAGTTAAGGACTGTTGTTCCATAGCCAGAGCGTCTTCTGTAATTAAAGTGGTGTCAGTATTTTGTCCTACCAGTCCTTCACGCTCCATTAGAGGAATTTAATCCAAAAATTCAAGACGCGTGAAACCAATTTAGTGTCAACCGCCAAACAACAATACTCTATTCTCTCGGTGACGTTTCTGAGGAATGAATCTGCCAGGCGTACACACACGGTGTCATCAAAAATTTCGGCCTGCACGAAAGCCGGTTCTTTCTACGCCTTGCAATGGAATCGCTGCCAAAAGAAACCGTTTTGGTTCGTTATATCGACACATGCGCATTATTGCAATACGTTCGTTGGTCTAAGTGTACGGATTTTACACTACACCATAGGAAAGAATTAGCCAGTGTGCACGACTCAGAAGCCTTCAAGGGGAACTGTATTGTGTGCTTTTCATTGTGCACCTGGCACTCAACCAGTTGGAAAAAAAGGCAAAGTGCAAGCAAATGCGAATATTATAGAGGCTCATTTCCACAGACAATTTGGAGGCAACCAAATGTTCTGTGAGAAATCCCTTGGAAAGAACACAGTATCATAGTATTCCAACAGTTTATTGAAATCTTCCAATTAACTTGTCCATCTGTTTTCTTGTGGAGATTGGCTGGAACAAGTTTGTCTTGCCTGGTGTGACACCTTATAGACAACAATGAGGTAACGGGCCATAGGTGGGCGTGGACACCCGGGAATTTTTATATTGGTTTATCTAGCTCCCAGACCTATGTACTTGAAACTCAATGGTTGAGTCTGGAGTGCTGAATGGTAACACATAGCAACTGATGAAAGCTGATGTGCAAATTAATAGATGTTTTCATCGGATGAAGTCACTCCGCCCCCACGTATTTATGTTGATATTAACAAATATAATTTACAACTTTTGAAACTGTAATATAGGTTTTCCTATATTACAGTTTCAAAAATGTGTTCAAGAATTTGTAATAGAAGCTTTCGTTTTCGTGCGAAATAGAATGAACGTTCCAAATCCCTGTTTCTATTTAACAAATGATAATTCCATTTGCATGAAGGTGCATTCAGTCGTAAAAAATCAGCGTACGATTTCCCGAATGTGCACTGAATTTGGTATATTGACATTTCATTTTAGCGCGAAATCGAAGGCACATCTGCAATCCTGTTTTCTTTTAATATATCGTCAATCTATTAATGTGCAGCCGATTTTCCACGCACTGTTATTTCATATATGCCTGGTCGAGCATTGGATTTCATTGATTTGTTCACAAAAGTAACATATGAGGAAAGTTTGATTGAATGATAGAATTTTTTAATATTCATGATTGAACTAAACCAGGTGGTGTAGTCTTTCAAAACATACCAACTATTGTAATAAATCCTATATAAAAACCTCAGATGAAGACAATTGCTCTTTTTTTTTTGCTCAGCATTTGCCACAATCGCATCATATAACCAAGCAGTCGAACTGATAAATTAGAGAGAACTTTAAGAAATACAGAAAGACAATAAAATATTAATTAGACAAAGAAACAACAAAAACGTCCGCCGGATCCCATGTAACATGACACGTGATGCTTCCCTTTACCGTTCCAATAATAATATGCCTACAAGATTGTTTTGATTGATTGATTTTGGTAAGATTTACATCTTTCTAACATTTCATTTGCCTTTTTCAAATAGGCCTTTGTGTACACAAGAACAAACACATTAATGATCAATTAGGCCTACAATACATTGATTAATCAATGAATCAATTAAAGCTGTTTCATAAATTTTACGGGCTGTATACTTTATTTAAATTGAATTCAGACTTTGCGAAATGAAAATTATGACAAATGAAAAAGAATGTACAATTCAGCCTGTGTCACAATAACAAATCGATTTTTGCGAATTGGATTGCACATTCGGAATAATCGGCAACGCATCCGTCAATTCGAAAGTCTAATCACGTATTTGTAATCATTTTAACGAATCGTTATGTACATTCATTTATTTGAATGATGCACAATGAAACGAATGCTAGTTGTTGCCAAAATGAAACCCGGATATACGTCGTTCTCAAAATTAGCGCCAAATTGAATTTATGTTTTACAAATTCAAATGCACATTTTCCAAAAATGTCCGGGAAAACCCACTGTAAAGAAAGCACTTAGTGTTTTTGGTTACCGACAGCCCCGATGTTCGACCGTACTTCGTAGTTGGTATAGAACTAACCAGCCTCGACCTTAATGATACTACAATATCTAATCAATCATACGGAAACAATGCAAGTACACAGTCATAAATTACTGCATTCAACGTGACACTTTTTTTTCAGAATGCAATATCAAAGGGCCGAGGCCGGTCCATAATTAGCATTTAATGGGTGTTGTCTCATCGACGAGTGTACTGAATATTTCATTCGTTTATTTATGAACAATGCATGACTGTTCTTGTATTGTTCTACGATGCTTCGATGAAATAGTCAATTAATCATACTGGATATTATAATCAAGCCTCACCTATTTTATAACAAAAGGCTGCGTTTATTATTCTGTCCCCCTCATGCTCTCTTTTTTTCCTTTAATTTCGCACGCATTTTCATAAGCCTCTTGTACGTGACATTGTGGTATTTTGAAAATTTGGAGAAATTAATTAACTCAAATCCATACATAATCTACGATAATTATATTAGGCCTACTGTAGCCCTCCCTCTCTTGCTGGAAAATTCAGGTACATGATCACCACGGCAGTCAAAATCAATTAAGTGACTATTTGTAACAGTTGCAACTGTTAAAAGAATTATCTTCTTAATTTCATCCAATCACCTCCAGCTTTGACTGAAGGTGATTGTTATGGCATCTATACCTACAAGTTACCTCTTTTGTCTGTTGATAGAATTTGACTAGTCACAGTGTTTACTAGTCTGTATACAAAATAATGCATGTCAGAGGAAGTGGAAGAATTTTTTTGACTGTGTATGACTTATCAAACAATAGGAGGGTTTAATACATGAATTAATTATGAATCAATACCACCCAAACAGCTATACCAAAATACTTTACTATAGTTAATACGTAACGTTGGTAGGATTAGATTTCTTCCTTGGAGCAGATTTCCCACACTGTCACGTGTCACACAATATACTGTAAGCCTAGCTAAGCAACAGCGTGAACACTATCGGAAAGAACGATCCCGCTTTTAATTGATCACAGATCTTCACTCCAAAAGAAATTCTGCTTTCAGCATTTTGTTAACTGTCAGATTATTCAGAAATTTTAATCCCGATACTTTACCGAAAAAAACCTTGCAGTTAGGCCTAAGGAAAAAGTTTGTCTCTTCTCCTTAACCTTGTGTCTTATATAAACGGTTTTGGTGCATGCAAGACGAGACAGTTATAGCATTTCCCCAAACTGCCCGTTTACTGCTAGACTTGAAATCAAGTCGGTAATTGTCTGGGTTTAGTTCGCCCACCGCGCACTCACCGGCGTGGACAGCTATTGCACACCGTCCTAGGGTATACGTGTAGCGTGCAGTATGACACTAACTTGCGGGGACGCTTTGTGCATCCTCGGCACCAAAATGCGTGTATAGGCCGATACATGTCGAGGCCAGCAAAATGATTAACACGATACGCGGCGCTGTGCTAATTATATTGGTACGCTGACAGACAAAACACGACTGTCTAGCGACTTCTCCTCAAGTCTAGTTTACTACATGCAGCATGAGTCAATATTTTGCTAGTGTCGGGCTTTCAACACGCTGATTATCAGAGAGTGGGTTTTATTTGGAGAACGCGTAACTGATTCCAATTCCTGCCACGGTAATGTTATTACGCTACAATCACTCTCCTCGGAGACTCTATTAAAGGCAGGTAGCAACATTGATAATGAGGAAAAACCTTTGCCGAAAGTGTAGATAGGGCTGCTCCAATACCCGGCGAAATTATTTAGCCGGAAATGGTTCCAATCGAAAGGAAACAATCCTTGAAGGTGGGTTTTTAAAAGTGTGCCAGCAAGCACACTTTTTTTACGTTCGTTAGCCATCAACGGATTCCATTTACGAGACCCAACATTTTTTGCATTTTTTCTCAAAATCTACCGTAGCCACAGCTAAAATGCAACAGGTTGGTTGTTTAATTCGCACCCTACTCAGGAGTTTGATCAATTTTGTTGTTTCAAAATAAGTGGAAACAAAAATGCACAAAATAGCAAACGGTACTCTACCTTTAAAATCTTCATCGAAGAAGTGATTCCAGACCGCTAATATTTGGCCGTGGATTTTGTTTTGTCAGGAAAGGCGTTTATGTTTGAAAAAAGACGGAGCTTCGTTCCTCCAAATATCATTTTTACCTTCAAGTGTGTGACAAAGATCTAAGGCATCAGGCCTTAGACATGATGGCTTCGCGCATTGTTTACATGTGCGCTTTACTGTGGGAGGGTGGTGACTCTTGTCCCTTTCCGGCTTCCATAAGAAAGCACACATGTAAACAAAGCATTATGTCTCATGACTATTATTCATCATCGTCAAGATTCACGGCTGTTTGATTTATTGTAAGATGCATTTCAATCGATTGCTGAGGCAGAAAGGATTGTTTTGAACATCAACACTTAAAAAAAAAAAAATTTCACCAAGGGCCCACCACATAATGCTTTACGGTTCTATTAACCCCTAGCCCTTTATTACTCACGGTCGCATGGATTATTGACATCAGTAATTGGTGGTGGGTTTATATTCTTGACAGTAAATAACTTGACAATCATTGTCGGCGGTGATTCCTTTGGAAAAAAATGTTGCATCGCTTATAGAGCTGGGTGTGCGTGTATTTGCGCTTTAATTTTACGCAGCCAACGAGGCACTTATATTTAACCAGCAGGCTACCGTGTCATAATGCAAACAAATTAGTTAATAAAAAGAGCTAGTATTACAAGCGCGAAATAAAAAAAAATACATGGCTTCTAAAATGAATTGTAAATAACTTATTTTTTTAATTTTTTTTAAAATGCAAATCGCCCATTACAAGGCCAAAGACCACTCGAGGTGAGGGAAGAACCAGCCCCTCACACTGAAACTAGACAAGATAATAACGCATTATTTAATAGAAAAATGGCTGAAATGGGTCTCATATGTTTCTTCAATTTAAACTCCATAACAGTTTATTATTATTTCTCTTTTCAAAGCTGCATTTGGCAAAATGAATATCGTTGAGAATAAAATGCCACAATTTATTTTACACTATAGAGAGATCCATTTGAGAACCTGTTGGGTTGTTCGTTATTGCAAGTTTAAGCACCGGCTTTTTGAACTATGGATTAAGTTTCGCACGCTTTGACTTGATCGTCCGATTGGCCGATTTTGCTTAAATTAAATATGCACGTAGTACACTCAATTAATATCCCTATCGCCTGTAGGATTTATCATTATAATCATTATTTACGCAGTGGAGAAATTATGCGCATCGCAAGGGGGACGTACGCGTGATAAAAATACATTTAAAACAATGCAGTAAATGTCTCAGAAACGCCCAAAATCTAAGAATTTCATGGGGGAGCCTAAAGTCCCCGTTGAAGGGTTTTGCGGCTTCAGAGCTCGCGATGAACGGTGCGCCTGTGCGGCCGTTGCTCCGTGGCCATTGGTGATGTAAATGTTTTGCCTCGTCTGGTATAAAGACCCTATAGCGACGTCCATGAGAGCACTTGAGTTGCAACTTGAAAAAAAAAATCGAAAAATATCGCCCTAATCAAGAAATCAAACAGGAAATTATCGGTGGGACAAAAGGGAAGACCTCCCCGGTGTATTAAGTGGATGTTTTAATTATAGTGGATGTGTTTTAATTTCCTTTGGGTATAAATAGCAAAACAAAATTACCACGGCCTGAAGCAGTGCACTTAACTCCTGCTTATTAAGCAGACTGCTAATCGTAGTACATCATCAGCGGTCAAGCACTGCACTTGACATTCGGAAATTAAATTGAATAAAAACAAAATATGAAAAATAAACAAATATTACACTGATGTAGGATTTTTATTGAAAATTTCCAACAAGTATCAACTTCACACCATTTGTTGAACTGTAGCATGTAAAAAAAAAATCATAATTAACAATGATTAAATTACAAAGAAATTGACGAGTGCGATTAAGTAATTTTTCGGATTAATTTTAACAATTCATGTATTTTTTGTAAGTTAGTTTTACAATGCCTCAGTACAAGATGAAAAAAATGCACTAAGAAGCTACCTTGAATTTCAATTGTAAATTGGTTAATTCGGTCATAATCATTTGAACGAAAAGTAAAATCCATATAGTCTCAGGTTCAGTTATATATATCCTCTTCTTTGAAAGTTTTGAGACAAATCCTGAAGTTTTCTGTCAGCAAGACGATTGTAGAGTCTTTCTCCAAGAGTGACAAACAGACTGTTACATACAAAAATTAAATTATACACATAATGAAATTAAATGTTGAAATATAGGTTAGGCCTTTATTCTACCTTAAAACAGTTCTACCTTAAAACATCAATAATTGCCTTCAAGGCTCACAACCAAAATCAAATTTAACAAATCTTGTGTTTTTCATGACCTTAAGCGAGAAACGTCCACATTGGACTTGAAAAGAATGACACCTTTTGGGGATTTTAATTAAGAAACAGAGCCCCCGTAGATTGCTTTTGACCACTTAAATTCTAGGTGAATTGATTAAGAGGAGTTACTGATGGAACATAATAATACTTGGGGCTTTTAGCATGATTGCGGCTGGCGAGTACGTACGTACGTGCGTGCAGTCACGTACTACAATCTCCATGAGAATAACCTCAAAATTATAAACAAAAATTGATTTCCCGTCACAGAGCCAGTTCTAACATGTCAGATCATGATGGATTTATATTATAATGCGACTTGGGCCCACAATACAGGAAGCCACCAGCGTTTATTACAAGAGGTCATTTTTTTTCTTCAGTGTATCATGGGAAATGTCGACGACCGTTTGCATCCTGTTAATTGTCAAGTATTTACACAACACTTCTGCAGAAGAACAAAAAAAAATTAATTGTCATTAACCAACTAATTTTCTTTTTAGTCAGACTCTAAACTTGTAAGTTAAAAAAAACCACCACTATGACAGCTATCGAAATCAAGTATTTCGAAACATGTTCACGCCAAAGTTATCGGTTGCGCCATGAAACCTTCTAATGCAAGTGTCTTAATCTTTCAGATTTCGTTACCAGTCTATCATGATCTCTACGTGAAACAAATTTTGTGCCACCTTGTTGAATGTTAGGGCGCCATCACTTGTTTTTTTCTTTGAAGCACTCGATCGTGTTGCATGCATCGACTCCAGAATTTGTGTTGCACGCCCTCTATCGTCTCCTTGTGGGCCACACATCCCAGCAGACTGGATTCTTGTCTAAATTTATACTTTCTGTTTGATTTACTTTCAGAGCTACTGCCAACTGATATGAGACAACGTCTTGGTATCTCGACCTTTGACATTGACACGCCAACCTCATCTGCATGAGCACATAAACTCAGACTGGTGGCTTTGATAATGTGATGAAGATAACTTCTGTAAGTAAACACAGTTTAGGGCCTAATTGATTCAGAATTGCTAAATCACTGGAAGCCCCTTGCATCTGGTCTACACAATGGGCCGGAATTAGGCCATTCATCGTCATTTTCGGGTAATCATATACAATAGCACTTCCCGGCTCTCTTCACTGATCTACCACCAGTCCAAGTCACAACTAAGTTACAGTCGGTCAGTCACTCTGCCAGTCAGTTAGACAGATACAAAGAGAACACAAGGCTGGCCCTCTGGGAACAGCAACAAAAGTTTATCAATTTTAGTTTTTTTTTTGCTTTATATGCACACACTTTCCACATTCACAATCACTCGTTCATTTGAGTTTTGTATAACTCAAAAGGATGCCCCCAGATGCCACTGTAAGCAGGTTGGAAAAGGCAATAGGGGTCCAAAAGTGTGACATTGTTTTGTGTCCCTGTTACACCTGACCCGTGTAACTTTCCTTTTATCCTTAAAATAGACCATTATCATGTTGCGGCCATTTGAATTTTTCCCATTCAAATCAATGTAACCAATGCGAGGCTGGCAGAAAAATAGTCTTGTTCCTTTTTGCACACAAAAACATTATCACTCAGTAGTGTTATTGGATATTGGGGAAAATGACTGAAATGGTGGCAGCATGATGAAGGTCTATTGACTTCACACTATTTTTTATTTGTTTGGCAGACACTTTGCTTTACATAATCACTCTTGGAGATAGAAGACATTACAGAATGTGTCCTGAATTACAAAATCTTATACATGTCAAATGTAAATTGGACCTTACGGAATGATCAATAGACCTCTCTTTCGTATTTAAACATTGAGCGCCATTTTGTACGGGCTGCTAAAAGGGCATACATTCAAGCCGTGGTCGGCAGCAGACCTTGCCAACAATTAAACACCCATTGACAGAGGCATTGTTATTAAGTCTTTGATAGTGTTTGTTGGTTATTTTGTGGTTCCAACAATCCAATGAATTTAGTATTTTTTACTTTTGTGACGTTGACCTTCCATATCGTCATCTACCAACCAGTGGTTGCAAAAATTCTAAAACACCGGTTGGCAAAGAAGTGTCTGTTCGCATAGTATGTTGTTAATGACAGTGACAGACTCAAGGGAGCGGTAATCAATGTTGCTGACAGGGCCTTAGGCCTAGAGTAAGTGAACAGTTAGTGACATAGATTGTAAACACTGCCAGAATGTTATTATTAAATCGGCGTCGTACTACATGAAGCCTGCATCAGCCAGGCGAAGCACACCTGAGCTGCGGACCAAGTTTCGATTTGACATAAAAGTAATAAGATCTCATCAAATCTTCTACTCATCGGTCAATATCCAGCATCTTGTCAATATCTTTCAAATTTCCGGAAGCTAATGTGACCTTATATCTTCCATTGATCTCTGAAATCTAAAACTCCACATCACTTTGTCTCATTTCGAGTTTGCTGCCTCGGGTAATGTCCCACGCACGGAGTGATAACAACGCGAGTGCTGTCCATTAGCTTATTAGACGACTGTCACGAAAAATAATGATTGACATAATTTGATTGATTGAGGGCGCTATGCTGCTCGTCCTACGTAGTCGTAGATAACCACGGCTCCAAGAAAACGGTGGGTCCGGAGGTAGCTAATGAGGCCAATCCGGGCCCGGAAAGTCCTCCCACACGTGGGACACGTGTGGGCTGGTGGTGTGTTGGTTGGGGCTGACGCTCTAGCCTTCCGCATGGCCCGCTTCTGCTCCGCTGCTACACTGCGATTGGTTTCAGCTGCAAGCGCTCCCTTGGTAAGCACGCTGCGCCAGGTTGGATGGTCGAGGGCAAGGGCTTCCCAGTTCCTCACGTTGAAATTCAATGCTTTGAGGCTGGACTTGAGGGAGTCTTTAAACCTGAGGGCGCTATAACAAGGTAAAAATGGGGCACTTTCGTAGGAAGTGAACTTATTTGTGTAGAATCAGTACTATTGAAGACGAATTACTCTGTGGCTGGTTTCAATACTTTTGTATGTTAAGTATGCGGTAAAAGTCTATAAAAAAAAAGAAAAAAAAGAAGAAGCAAGGACCCAACAAAAAAACAAACAAACAAAAACACGACAGGGCAAGCCTCGTGTAATATCCACTCAGCTGAAAATTCAACAGGTTAGTTTTTGAACATTCTTTGAATTTTGAGTGGTTTTATTGTTGGAAACGAACAAAATGCATAAAACGCAAATGTTCCCAAAGCGTGACTGTAAATACCACCGAGTGACCGTCCTGTAGCACGTGACCCAGACAGTCACCCACGTGGCCGTCTGCCCCTACACCCCTCCCCTATCCGATGGCATCTAGGGGTAACAGACTCACATCCCAACCGAGACGCCATCAGACGTGTATCAGTCTGGTCGACGTGCGGTCGTTTAATAAGACGGTTTCCAATCAATGTCCAATTCGTCTCTTCAATCCTGCTTTTAAATGTCACATGCTCTCTCGTCACATAAAATGCCTGGAGACATTTATTTTGCCCCACAGTATATTGACCCGCAGAGCACGGAAAACAGGTTTAATTTCACGGAGAATATAGCGCGCAGATTCAGAGCTGCTTACCAGATAATAATGTTTCAAATTTATACGCTGAGCAAAATGCAGCGGAGAACCATTTATAGGTATACAATGCGTGTGTTTTTTTTTTTAGCAGGGAACCTTTCTTGCTAAGCAGTTTATGTACAAAGCATCTCAAAAGGAATTGTTCCCGATTATAAGCATGGCATTTTTTCGGGTAACCTGTTCTACGGAGCAAATCTTTTCCAAGCTTAGCCTCATATATATAATGAGATCAAATCAACAGGAGTTACTTATGGGCCCATTTCGTGGAGAGGGCTCTCTATATAACAATCATCAAGCTTATTTAACCATCCCCAAATTCTGAGTGGGGGGGGGGGGGGCAAAAAGGGATGGGGGAGTGCTACTGTCCCCATGCCCCCTTATTTACCCCACTGATTAGCCTAAGTTAAATTGCACTTTTGGCAGTTAAAATTTTGTCATATGAGATTTACTTCCTTAAAACTTTGAAATCTGTTTAAATAAACTGCAAGGCTTTAATTAAAGACATTAATTATATTAACAAACCAATTAAGACTGTATCCCAACCTATACACTTACCGATGTATTCCTGCATTATTGCGTTTCTTGTCAAGACCCCGCCGCATACAAACACACCCCTAACCACCCCTCTCTTTTTTATAGGTTAATTTATCGCTGGGACTGACAACTCTCAATCACATCGTGGCATCCATCTTTCAAGAGCCTAGTTACCAAGTAACCCAGTTTCATCCTGGTCCACTCCAGGCCAACCGAAGGCATAAGACGGAGATTTTTTTGTTTCATATAAAACAGGTGCTGCTATGTGGAGAGCTAGCTCCATGATTACTGCTTCTTAGCGCTGCAAACCTTAAGTAGCTTGGAGGGATTTTTTTTGCTTTTACCCACTCTGCGACAAACACCTCATTTTCCGTCAGCTTCCAAGACACCCTTTAAGCACTAGGCATCAATTTGACAGCAGAGGACATTTAAACTGATTTTTCTTTTTAATGAAATGCCATTTTCCATTTCCATTCCCAGTGCCGAGAGAGATCGAGTCCTCACTGAAGAGGTAGAGAGAGATACGCGAATTAATAAAACGGCAGGCTTGCTAGGAAGGATGCTTTTGCCGGAAAGCACTCCATTAAAAAACATCCAGCTGCGACGGGCAACTAAATATCGACTGCTCGGATCTTGGGGGTCCAATTTGTCGGTACAAAGGAAATCTATTTTTCTTCTGACGGGCGTAATATTATTGTATTGCCATGGAAACAGTGATCTCATTTCAAGATAAAAAGAAACTTGTAATTAATGTGCTGTTTTCATGTTGAGATGTTTCATATCTTATGATGAAATTTCTGTTAGAGATCATGAATTTGTTTTTTAATGAATGCTTAAAACCAGATGTAAAAAACAATCACTGCAGTGATTGATGCACTGATGCATCAGTGCTCTAAAGCTTTGAATCTTAGAAAAACCGAGGGTTCCTGTGCCTAGATGTTCTCACAAAATGTCTACGGCACACACACGGTAAAAAAAAAATCCGATTTCTCTGAATTGTGAGCATGTCAAGTTTGTATTCAGGGGTCAGCTGTGTTTGATTCAGGGCAGAAGGGAGGTGATCGCAACCATCTCTTCTCTGTTTGTCAGCCTCCATCAAAAATTTGCTCCTTAGCCGATCCAAATATCTATACAGTCTCAGTCTCAGTCTCCGTATTTACGGATTCACGTGCCTACCCCTTGAAATAATACTAACATTTCACGTAGAAACACGATCACGTAGGATATCTACAGACCAAGACACGAAAACATCATCAGCCTCTGCCCAAATCCATCCCCAAATCTTCAAGGAAATCGAGGTTGTATTTTAGGAGGACAAAAAAACAACAAAAAACCTGGTTATAGTCCTCATATGGTGAGGATGGAATTACGCAGCATCAAAGCTGAGGACAGCACACGAATCATCAATGCGGGTCGACATAGGCTAATTCAATATAGACTGAGAGTATGTTACAGGTCTCACATGACACATAATGTCGATTTTGTTTTCCCCGCCTATTCCTTTTATCGGTTCGGTCTTGTGCGTCTCTGCATATTGGCCTTCTAGACCACGAGACTTGCCATGCTAAGTCTGTGCCATTATGTCATGGGGACACTTGTTTTCAGTCGTGTGTGTGCGCATGCGCGTGTCGCACAGTGGTAAAACAAGCACAGATAATCCCAGCACGTTAACCTGGATAGTCAGCCCATGCTTTCAGTCCTTGCTTGTTTTGTCCTGGTTTTCAGTCTTCCCAGCCCTTGTGCAAATAAGCACGAGTGGCAGACCCCCCCCCCCCCTCCGTTAAAAGCCAGCGATCGCAGTAACCAATTGAGCCGGGTACGGGCCGTCGGACGCGCTACACGGATCGCCTTACAACAACTTCTGTCATCTATCCCGTCTCCGGTTCTAAGGACGAAAATATTTTTCTTTTGATTCTCGTACAAGGGTGGAAATAGGACTGAAGATGTCAGCTTGAAATTATGAAGATGGTCGTCTGAGAGTCAGGAAGGTTGTCTTAAATGAGGGCTGAATCATATAAAGTCCCTAAGGATTCTCCGTGCGTGCTCCGTCGAAAACCCGCGGTAGTTCAGAGCAGAGGGAACTCCTTTCCAATTAAATGTCAGGTGAAATTTAACCACGCTCTGTTCAATTGCTTCATGATAATATTTTGCATGCAGACTTAGAGACATGCATGCTAGAAGGGTATTTTATTGGTTTTTATCCAATCCTTGATGAAGGGGATAAGTATTTTTGACATCCCATTTCGTGAAGCTTTCACAGATCATTTTGTAATTCCAATGAACAAGATCCCATGTGAGAAGGAATCACATAAAACAAATATCCCAAAACACTTCCACTTTGATTCTTGTTACTCACACTTTGCCAGTGTGAATTCTCTATAATTTATCCAAAGTTGCAGATAGATATGAAAATTCATAGGCATAAAAGGAATGGGCAATTTTGTTCGCAGCGAGGACATCTATCATTTTAGAGTCGAAACGGTAAACGGACAGAAGTCAAATTGACTGCTGTTAGAGAACTAACAGGCTAGATCTAAAAGGAAATTGGAAGAAAGGTTCAACGTGCTATTGCCACTGGATCAATTTCATTTTTTTGTCACGACAAGTGCATAATGTCAAACCATTATCTGCCCTAAAGGTGCTTCCATTTATTCCGACTTCGGCTTGCACTTAAGGTTACCGGGTAAGTTATTCATAGAAGCGATGCAGTCAACACGTTTATCACAATCGCAAGATTTCGGATTTTTGCCCTAATTGCAATAAAGCTCTGAAGACGCCTGTGCAGTGTTAGGATATCCAATCAGTATGCTGTACCATAGGCGATGCGGTCCACCTATCTTCATCAATGTGCACATTCACAGGACTGCTCGGTTCGTGTAATCATGAGGTCAAGTTGTTTTTTGCTGATTCCATCAGAGAGGGCAAGCATATAGTTCTCTTTGTACTTAATTGACTCACTGACTGATTGCCACTTGTGACTGACAGTGGTCTGGGAGCAACTTTACGAATCTTGCCTATCCATATATGTCAAGTAGAATCTACTCTACATGTGCATTAGTCAGGCGCCGCTTGTTTCATGTATAGGGGCCTACATGTACTATTACGATAAGTCGAGTCTCCGAGCGAATATGATTCGCAGCATGTAGGCAATCCCAATGCTTGCGTCTACTGTAAACGGCAACTCCACTATCCATATCACGTATTGCCAAACCCATCTTGAACGGCTTGTCGTAAATGTCTCACATAAAAAGAACCGGATCTAAAAGATCTGTACCACAGTATCAACGTTGATTTCAACCTGATTACTTTGAAGAAAACGAATCATAACAGTTTAAACCATTCTTTTATTAAGATAAGTGAATACATGAGCCTTTGGGACATAATATGCACCGGTTCAGTGCATCGTATGTATCTGAAATTTCGATCCCTTAGTGGCCCAGTTTGCTAAATTCCATGGGGACGAGGTTGCATCTTCAGTTCACCACAAGATGGCGGCCCTTTAAGCGCCAATTACGATGCATTGCACGCTGCACCCTGTGACCGAGCCATCGTGACAAGACCACCCCACCCCGACTACATACTTTTATCTGCCAGAAAACAGATATCTACAGCGAAATGTCCACGCCCTCAGGCTAAAAGCGGATGTTTCGATCGAAAGAAAGAAAAAAAATCCCCGAACGGATATTGGAAAAAAATAAAGGAGGCCCGAACGGGCAATTTATGCGTTTCTCGTACGTCCAGCCCTTGACACGCATACCTCAACCCTTGTGGTATGGGGTGTATTGAACGATGGGGAGTAATCCAAAATGATAGAGTGCAGCAAAATGAGACTCCGTGTCAGGATTGGAATGATTGCAGCCAAGTTGACGCGGTCAGTTCGGCGAAAAGGCTTTAAATCGATCATCGCTTCCAAATTAAAAAAAGGAAAAATATTAAATGGTGGTCAGTTATACTGGTCACCATAAATAATGTTATCAAAATGAAAACGAGCGGATGAAATTGAGATAAATGCAAAATTGACCTCAGGCGTAAAGATTATAAATTCCCGCACAATTCAGGTATGCATTGGAATCTTACTGCTATGATATTTCATTAGATTATTTGTTGGAGTTCATTTATTTTTAACACAACGCTTTATTAGAAATTTTATTGAGGTCAATTTCAGCAGAAGCAGAAGTTCAAGGAGATAGCAATATTTCTAGTTTAATAGCACAGAGCATGTTTTATGAGCAATTAAATGGGGTCCAAATGGAAAAAAAGCCGTCCTCATGCACGTGACTGTTTTATTGAGTGTGTTTCCACCGGCACTTGAAATGTACGATTCTGGTGAAATGAAGCGTAGAACTGAAGTGAAAAAAAAAGAAATTATCCGGATGATTGCGGGCTGGAAATTAATTCAGCGCGGATGGCTGAAGATCTCTCGTCCTCGAATTGGCACTTTGCTCCCCGCTGCAATCTCGGGGAAGTTTCCAGTCGATAGGTTCGCATCTTCGAAATCCCTAGAGTTTGTCAGATCGCCGGATTCGTCTTAGAAAGCAAAGTGGTTATAATTCTCTCAGCATTCGATTGTTCTTTTGTTTGTTTTTGTCTCAAAGATATAAACCGCTTCGCGTACGTCACCAACCAGTATTCATGGAGGGTATGTTATACTCGCGTTACTTTACGCTGTAATTTTCGGACAATTTAAGCAGCAGGCTGCTTGTTATCAAGAAGACAGCGCCAAATCGCAATTTCAACCGTCCGCCGATTAAATTATTCACAGCAAACTCGCATAATAAAACATTTTAATTACAGTCTATAGAAGACTTCATTACGAAACAGATGCAGTTTCTACCTATACGTCCTGCCGAGAAATTAATTGTCTCGAGTGCGATTCAGACCCTCAGCAAGGCGTGCTTAATTAAAAAAAAAAAAAGCTGATTCCAACCGTATATATTAATGCCTAGAAAACACGATTTGTACACAAGATTCATATAACCTTCCTCAGTTGAATGCCCCAGCTCCATATCATTTTCTTTTGTTTGATTGGCCTGGCAGTAAGGTCCAGAGATTTCTCATTGTTGTGTATATTGGCAAGCGCAAAATATTCTGAGCAATTTTCCATTTATATGATTATTCTTTCAACGAGATACGAGTACCTCAAGAGTAACATGGATGTTACACCTGTTCATTTTCCCGTTTGCATTATGATTGAAACAAAAATGTGTTAGGGCTCTCAGTGGGTTGTGGGTCATTCTATAAATTTAGGGTCTACAGTGTGATATTACTTCGGTACTGTATAATTTGCCATTCAAGTATCATTAAGAATGACTTCAAACAATTGTGTTTGTTGGATAGTTTAGTTTCCTATTTATATTCACCATTGGAAGACGATTACATAAAGGAGAGACTTGGAATTATATACTCATATATGTCAGATGTAACAACGACAGGAAGATAGTGGACCCCAAATGTGTAGAATGACCCATACATTTGTACTATAAAAACTGGGAAGTTGGTTAAGGCAAAGGTCAATTGATTCTTCACTTTGTATTTTACTCAAAAATACGTTCAGTTAAATATCTTCTTGGTTATTTTTCATTAAATCTACAGTGTGAACGCACGAACCATCTGAAATGAATCGGAACAATCACGAAATACCTCTGGAGTGGATCGCTACGAATACAGTCAAGGAAACGAGGAGGAAAGGTAAGAATATGATGTTACTGTTGGTTATAGAGTAAGAAACAGGATTAGAGTTAGGTTGAGACCTATAAGGGTTAACATGTTAAAGGTTAACACGTTAAGTTTGTAACGTGTTAACACGCTACGTTTGTAACGTGTTAACTCTAGTATACCAGTAATACTGTTGTGCTCATGACAAAATACATACAATTTGTGTATCACCAGGAAATGTGCATAACCCTTCATGGGCATAAGTTCGGATTCCGATAATGTCCAAATTTCACGAAACCGCCTTAAAATGTCAAAGGTATTTCCTGTAATTGTGGCTATAAATTGAATATTCTTCTCCAAGTATATTTTGGCGTAACTGGCTGGCGACTGTTCCATCGATATTATGAATAAATAACTGGATACATGTTTATATTAACTTTTTCTTGGCAATGTAAAGAAGAACGTTTCACTAAAATTTCGATCACAATCATTTTCTTGCGCCCTTAGATTGTCAACGTAGAGAAAACACATGGCTTTATACATTATGATGAAATCAATAATTTTTCTTCCAACTAGACCTTGGCCAATTTGTGAAAAAAGTACCGAAAATGTCGATCTCTAATCTAATCTAAATCTAATCAAATGTGACTGATCTCCGGGTTTCCTTCCAGTTAGTGACACCCTCGTGGTTTAAACCGTGAAGGATAATCGGCACAATTCGATTATCAAAGGGGGTGAGGTTCCAAGTGATCCCCGGATCTAATTTATTCATTTAATCAAGCATGCAATTCCCGGGCGTTTTAGGGATTTTAATATTCTCAAGGCTAGGTAAGGGTAATGGGCCATGATATCAGCTGTACCAACGGAGGTTTGCACGGACTTGGGGCTTGACCTGGTCAATCCTGTTTGTGTGGTTTTTCAAATACTAAGGCCTTCATGAGAAACTTATGGCATACTGTTTATTAAGTATTATATCTCGAATATGGCATATTACATCGTCCTCTCGTATAATCTGGTACGTGAGAGAGTGCACTGTGTTTTGTGGCAGATAATAGGGAAATATAAGGTTCATTTTAAATCACTATGAGTTTGAGCAGGTGAACCGGTGGTCGTAGGTTCAGTTCCCGCTCAAGTTCATTTCTTTGCTCACCATTACGTACATACAGGCTACAAAAACATATACATTCAGCTCGTGAGTGCTTATTTTCATATAATTTGGAAGTAGAAAATTTGAAATTGTGTCGCGCTATTGTAGTGACGTACCACTGGCAAATCTAGTTCCCACTGAATCGCAGTGTATAAAAATCTATGTACATGAAACACTTGGCTGTCAACTGCCCCAAATCGTGTCCGGTCTTTAATTCACTTACAAAAAAACCCACAATATGCGGACATGTAAATCAATAAGGGCGGGTGGACGCATTGAAACTGGCAAACATTTATGAGAACAAGGGTGAGTGGCAATATACTTTAAAGAACTGATCGTTGCCATCACAGGATGCGAAAACTACTTCGGCAGCAGAACCAGTTTAGCCTACATCATCACAAAATTACGAATAGCTGCGCATTACCGTTTGTCATTATGATGATCTATGGAGACATTAAGCTCCCAAACAGCCAGCATTGGAACGGGTGATTATGTTCCCCGTGTAATCCTAGACATGCAATCATTCTCATCTGCTTTATCATCTCAAGTCTGTGTCTCAACAAGACCTCAAAACGATCACGAACAAGGATCTCCTAACGAGGGAATTCAATTAAGGCCATGGGACGTGGTTCGGTTGGCATCGTTAGCGTATATACACTCATCATTTATACCAAGGACGATCTATCGTCGAGACGATTGTAATGCATTGAAAAACAAGACAAGGCAAGCCTAGTAAAGCAGGTCCCAAGCAGCACAAAATTCTATTCAACTGATTCAGAATGGCTATTCACTGGGGAAGTCTTTTCATGCATCTGGTCTACACAATGGGCCGGATTTAGCCCACTCTTAGCGTTACGGTGTATCCTATACGATAACACTGCCCGGCTTAATTACCATAAATAGGTAGAAAAAGGAAACAAGACTTGTCGTCTCGGACAAGCAAAATTCTAGCAGTCTGAGAATGACAAGAACTTCGTTGTCCGTGTGACCTCTGACCGAGGTCAACTCATTTACATATCCGCACGCGTGTGAATACACTCGCGCATAAATACGCACTGCGTTCTGCGTGTACGCGCACTTGAGAACTAAGCCAATCAGGCGACAAGAAAAGCATTATTGGCAAGGTGGATAGCCACCAGTATAATTTAAGAAACTTTGTATTCTCACACACCGAATTCAGTTTTAGAAAACAGTCAATTTTGAGTAAGAATTTAGGGTCATCTGTATGCATGCAAACTGAAAATCAGTCAAACAATAACTATATTAAGTAAGAATTTAGTGTGGAAGTCCAGGTTTGTTGATATTTATTTCTCAATTGAGAATGTAATATTTATCCCACAAGTAAACTTGGTCAGAGTTTTTGAATGGAGAATTTACGTTGTATGGGAGTGTAGGCCTATAGGCTAGTGTGAGTGCACACCGCCACCGTTTGTGTTCCGTGCAAAAGAGAAACAGTCCCTATTTTACTTGTTTAAAGTGAGACTGCTGCCTGTCCAATGCAAAACTATGCTGATGTCAAATCTCCAGTCTACGTGCACGAGTTGAACTCTCTGACCCGATATTACACCTTTCTTTCTCTCTCGTCTTTTACTCGGTCTTCTCGAGTACTTCCTATCTCGGCGGTCGGTTACCCTCAAGCCCCGCCAGAGATGCCTCTGCATCCCCCGAAGCAGTTTATTGCGCGTTCCGGTGCGATCCGGCGTCCCGTAGTCCCATAGATAAAGACGACCCAAATGGCCTCAGCGCTATGGAAATCGGGCTCTGGATGTTAATGCTTGCATCAGTAAGGCCATCACAACGCAAAGTCTGGTTTGCGTCCAGTTACCATTCAAACATTTTATTCGGAAATATTTCCCCGCTCCTTTTTGGTAATACCACATCCGAATTTGTCCATTGATTCTAATCAAGATACTGTCTGGTTTTTTGTTTTTTTAAGTATGTCTGACTACTTGGTAATACCTTGATAGATACTTGGTAGATACTTGTGATCTCATTTTGTTTTTAAGGATGCGAAGCCGAATTGAAAATAAAGTTCCCTTCCGTCAAGAAAAAGACGGAAGATTACTGATGTTAAATTGAACATGTCGGGTGAACAATATCGATCAAACCTTTGCCCGTGCGGTTTTCCGGAGGTCACAGGTTCACATCCAGCTCAAGACATATATATTTTTTATATACATCCTTATTTTGTTTGCTCTTTGGAGTAAACAGTGTTTCCTGGGTTTTACCCTCCAAACATGAACAAGAATTTGGAAAAAAATTACCTAAGGGACCGAGTCACTGATTCAGGGGCAAAATCTAAACCAAGAGTAGGTAAATATAGTCTCGGAATATTCACCTTTCAGTAGATGTAGTCGGTTATAGAGTTGGCTGTTGGCAGTGATGCTCGGATTTGGGGGATTAGGGGGATTCCTCGGGAAATATGCAGTGAATAATGCTCAGGGAAAGACGAGATGTCGTCAGGTCTTAACAACCAAGTTTATTCCTTTAAGAGAAGTGGTTGCTCGAAAGATATTTAAGTTGTAAATCGTTGCTATAAGCCTGGGTATTCATTGCAAAGATATATGGTGTAATTTTGACTGAATGTACTCGTTAAAAGATATTTTGTTGTTTTTGAGAAGCCAGTTTTGGATTAAAAAAAATCATGAAAGTTTCGCTTCAGGATATTGACTGTCTTCAAATCTATGACTTTACCTTTTCTTGATAGAAACTACTCTATTTATAAAACAGCGAGCCCCCATAATCCTTCAAATCTCTAAAACTGAATACTTCTTCATCTTCAACTCTCTGTGAGACTTAGGTTTCCAAGCAAATATGGCTTTGCACTTGTAGGAATCGTGTTTTCAAAACATAGCAGTTTTTTTCCACTGATGGTCGACCGACCATTATTGGAAATTGATACAAAAAATCCACTTTTCTTGAAAATGACAGCACAAAAGGTGCCACGATTTCATAGGATGCTTGAGACTATTATTAACTTACAGTCAAGTAAGGTATTTTATAATAATTTGGTAGTTTTTTTTAATGTTTGCAAATGTTGTTTATTACCTTTAAAAATGATGTTCCACTTTGCAAATGTTATAATGTCAAATACAGTGGACCACGTAGGGACAGCCATGAACCAACGACTGAACAAACAACCAAACAAAAAACCTCACAAATACTCAGACAAACAAACCAAAAGAATAAGGAATGCAATGCAAAATGTACAGAGCTGCCATTATTCCTAGCAGGTTAAAATACGTAATGCAATCTCACCCTTAATATGCCCAAGGCATTAACTGATGTTTGCCCTTCCCCGCTTCCGCGCCGTATAATTCCACAAAGTCAAACCGCAAAGTCCGAGCTACATATAGGCCCGGATTTCCATTACTGTATCTCCTGCATATTTTACATGTTTATTTATTTTTTTAACTTAGCCCCATCTTCAATTTTTAATTTTTAAAATCTGAAATTAAAGTGGTGCATTAGAATTTATAAAAATTGCATTCTCGTCATCATCCCAGTTGTGGTTGTTAGAACAAAATCTAAAGCCCTTTAGGCGCCCTATTATACCTTATAAAATCACGTAACCATCGACAAAAAGTGTATCTTCGACAGAACATTAGTTGCTGAATTCTATTGAGTAATATGGCCATCCAAAACCGTCAATCCAGATTTGTTTTCCAAATTTATCTCCAACAACTAGTAATAATTAACCGACTGAGTTAAATTAACCGGCAATGGTTAAAGCGTTCCCCAAAATAGTCTATACATCTCAGTGTTTATACATCTTGGTAAAATTCGCACGTGTAGTAATTTATGCCGTCATTTGATTCCCATCTGATGTTTGTTTATATCGTTTAAGAAACAGTCATATTGGCAATCGAAAACGCGATGTTGATAATGTCTGGCTATATTAAAACATATCGAAATCTTCATTAGGCCCCTATGGGTCATTATTTATGGTCTAAAGTGTGACAATTTCCTGTCCCTATTTCGTGGTACCTTGTAATTTGCCATTCAAGTATCATTATTAAAGAGTGACTTCAATTCTTTTATATTTGTTGGGTAGGGAGTGTGCCATTCATAATCACTCTTGGAAGTTGGGGGATGACTGCATTAAGTTGTGTATCAGAATTACAAAATCATTGATGTCAGGACTGTAACAGAGAAAAAAAGTGCACCCCAAATTTATAAAGTGGCCCAAATGTATTCTTTGGATGAGGATAAATATTATGATCAACTGCTTGTTGGAGTAGCAGTAGCAACGGCGCGTGCACGATCTACAATGTCATATCCTATGAACCAAATCGGCCGATATTAGGCCCAACATTTCTCTACTAGCCGTCTCCCTCGGGTGCCATCCTGCAGGTTGTCCAATTTAATCGATACTGTCAGGAGCGAGCCCCGAGTATCTGGTTACCGTCTTGACGAAAGACAGACAGGCTCGCGGGAACCCGTGGGTCTTCAAAGCCATTTATATGCGGCCTCTCTGGGCAAGACTCGCCCGGTACGAAATCACTCTCCACCCGTTGGAATATGATTGAGTCCGCACAGTTTTGCGATGGAATGGAGAGATGAAATGGGGAGAGCTTCCTCAATTCAAGGAGGTACGGTTACAAAGCAAATAGGCTACACACCTTACTTTTCTTTTTGACAATCTGCATCTCAAGCCAAAGATGCGGTACTCATTTCTTTTTCTCCAGTTGCTTGGAGCTGCACCGCAATTTTTCAAATGGAAAAACATTACGACCGCATCACCTGACGGTCAATTCCTGCAGAGCTAGAAGAGTCATCAGTAGCCCGGGCTGGTGCGCGCGGATCACGCCTTGTCACATGACACACTCTTCCCCGATTGCTGAGGAACTGAGGTCACGTGGTCTGCGGGTGACGATTGAATTCGTTCATTATGCCCTATACTAGTTTGTCTGGCTGGCTGCATTCGCAATTTGACGGAGTAGCGTGAATATATCTGAGCAAGCCCCTCAGAAACAACATAATTTGCTTTCTCTCTCCGCATATATTTCATGCGCAGTGTCTGTGGACGGACCCCTGCAAAGCTTCACAGACGCACCGCCACCATCTGCCACTGATCACGTGATCGGAGGGAATTACCCCGCACATGCATCTACAAAGCGATCGTCAGCGTGCACATCGCGGCACTCGTATACCGCGCGCCGTTCGTGAGAGGATCGTTCGTGCAAAGCCCACGCACTTAATCGGAATGTACATGTATCCGTCACTGATGTGTGCGCGTGAACCGAGGTATGCTGGCTAGTCCGGGAAAACACGATGAGCGTGAACCGGTGAAATAGACCCGTGCTGCGTGTTTGGGTGACGTGCAGGTGTCACGTACATAGATGACAGCTAATGGCATGATGGACCACATCAGACGAGGGAATGCATCATTAAGATACGGATCTGCTCTCTTCTCTTCCTCCGTATCTACATCAGTCCAGTATCTCTAAGAAGAGTTGTCCGCCTGAGAGTGTGTGTGTTTTCCTCTGGATGCTACTTTGTTAACACCGCATGCATGCCGCGGACTGATTGCCACAATCGCTCCATGACTCCTCAAATGTCCCTGCAGTCCCTCTGTGAGCTCTATGATCAGCTGTCCGAGGATATGGACCAGCTGGATATAGTAGTCCTAGGAGCTCCCTCTGTCGGCAAGACGGCTCTCATCGAACAATACTGCAGGTGTCACTTTGTCCAGAAACACTACCCCACAACAAGTGCCTGTGTCTACACCACTGCCGTGGTGGCCAACAATCAGCTATTCGAGATGAACCTGATCGACATCCCGGTGATTCCTTTCTCGCCTCTGGACTATCGGGCCAGCGAAGCCGTCCCTGGATCCAGCTGGGAGGAGCTGCAGTCTCACGCCACGGCCATCGGGACTGCATCAGCTCTCATCTTCATCTACGATATCACGTCGCAGGAGAGCTTCCAATACATCAAGGACCTACGGGAACAGATCTTGGATTGCTACGACGCCGAAGGAGGGTTTGATATCCCCATCATAGTTGCTGGCAACAAGCAGGACCTACAAATGCTCTCGCATCTTCCCAGAAGGCATATATCACAGATAGTCAAGAAAACTTGGAAGTGTCCCTACGTGGAATGCTCGGCCAAGTACAACTGGCACGTGGGATCGCTTTTCAATGAGGCGCTCAGGGCAATCACGATGGGGAACAGCAACAAAGAAGGACAAACTAGATCAAGGAGAATACCACTGCGTGCCTGGAAACATTGCTCCTGCTCCATCATGTGATATCTAGAAAGTCCAATTTCACCCCCGAAACCATCCTTAAAAATTCATCTCAGAGCACCTTCACTCGCGGGGAAAAATTTAATCCGCCACCGTTTCGCTCCAGCTCTTCGGCAAGGTGAGAGAAACTCTTTTGCATTTTCTTGTCAGCCATCACCATCACTCGGCAAGAAGTTTCCTGGAAGGTGTGAGAAGTATCAGCCGGCCTGTTTACTCTCCTCTGTTTGCCTCACCTCGCCGGTCGATGTCTAGAAGACGCTCCCTCAGGATGTGTCATTTGTGTAGGCGACAGGTGTTCTTCCCAGCATAATGAAGGATCTACATTTTTTTCAATTTGGAATGGATGCAGCCCTATTGACAGAAATTTCGAAGGAAAATTTCCAGAATGTATTTTTTGACTAACACCTTTATTAGCCTTATTGAAATATCGGTGTTTATTTAGAGCTGTGCAATAATTTAGTTCCCGGTTTACCTTAAGGGATAGATATTTTAAAAATTTAAGCATAACGTTAATTGGATCTCCGTTTGAAACTCCTCTTTTGCTGTAAACTTTTCCCGGTTGTAAATTTAGAAGTAATTCTGTGTTTCCATAGGATTCTGTAAAATTAAGGTAGGCCTATATATCGTTAACTGAAACTTGATGTGTTTTTTCGTCGTCAATCTGTCGTAAACCCATTTTGAACAAGGATTAATCAGGATACGTCTCAGGTGCTGAATTAATTTTCATAATAGGAAGAAATTATTTCCATAAACCTGGAAAGAGTTTTTTCCACACCATTCGGTTCGCCAATTGCTAGAAGTTTGTCGTCTTGAAGGTCAAGTCTCACTTCGAGTCACGAAACAAGTCCTTTTTTATTTTGGACAAATCAAATTGGACTGTCTGATTTTGTCTGATATTAAGGCTGAATCCGATAACATCCATATTCTCGGTTTCATTCGAATCGATAGTCCTTTAAATGTTGCATTTTAGTGCGGTTTATCTGTCTTCTGATATTCAGAAATGAGCCTTAAGTTGTGTTAAACGTAAGTTCTCTTTAATCAGTGTGTACATGTACATGTCTGAAATCGATGATGACTTCTTTGCATTGTATCCATATAAAGACTTCACTCACAAAATCAATGGTGTCGATTTTAACACCATTGGTATTTATATAGAACCACGGGTGTGAAATTTTGACACCACTGATCACCCACAGGTGTAAACTATACACCACAGTTTTTGCAGTGCATCAGCACACGTCAAGCAACTTATTTTATGTAATTTTGGTCCAAAATTACATAAACCTGGACTGCTTTCCGTTATAATCCACTTCACCTTTTAGCTCCCTGATTTCCTGGATTCATTAATGTGTGTATAAGTCACTGACTTAGAGCGCTGCATTTTTCTTCCCGTAGGCGCCATAAGGGAAGCGCGATGCAATCATAGGCAGGTTGCGTAGCGAACTATAGCAGTCGAGCCGCAAGCATCATCCGCGCATAATCCCATAATACCATCGACCGGTGCACACGATCACATGTGAATATTTCTATATTTCCAAGTAAGGTTCACGTTTATCCAGAGTGCGTACATTATATTTATATATTTATACCAGTGAATATTCTAAATATACTGTAGGGATACTTCAGAATTTCCCCCAGCACCTGCATGCGTACATTAATGTTGCCGCGCCGTTTTAATCATAACTGCCTGACTTCAGTTTATAAATATCGGTCCGAGGGGTACATACAAATGAAGCTTGTTGTATGTTGAATTAAAATAGTCTGGCCACTCTTTCTTTTTCAATTTACTGCTGTCAAGTCGAGCATGATGTATCTGTCGGAGCGACGATTGCCAGTCTTATTGCATACAGTTACTTCTGCTCTACAAATCACCCCAAAATGTCAGATTTTTCTCAGCCAGTTGGCCGGGCGTTTTTGTCCTTCTCGTCTTTCAGGCCGACACCTTTGTGACGAAATTGGAAAAAATAAGTTTGATCAATTCGTTGAGCTCCCACCTCTAACACAGACTCTGGTTGAATCTGGTGTGAAATTCTCCACTCTCGCCAGTTTCTAAAGTCTGATTGATATTTTCCCGAGCGCTTACCATGCAGGGAACACTTTTAATATACAAAATAATCGGCCTACAATTGCTATTTAAATCATAAAAATAATCAAATTTCAATTTGCGATAAATAACATAAACTGCCAACGTCACATAAAATTCAGACAAACTTCATTATACACAGCTTATAGTTAATTACATGCATTTTACGATCAATTTCCCGATCATCTTCTATTAGTGGCTTGCTGAAAAATGTCCATAATTGATTGTGTATGTACAGTCTGCCAATCGTATTATGCTTCACTTACGTGCAATAAAAGAAATCACATACAAAGTGCAGTTTATATTATATAATTATCATGAATCCCTCGTACTTGCTCTAAATATTGACGCATATGTTGAAAAGTCATTTAAACTATACTTTATAAACCTGTCCGATGAACTCTTGAAATTGTCTGCAACTGGCAGTGCTTCATTTCTTTTCGGCATGTTAATCATAGAGCCTTTGTATACTTGTTCCAGAATATGACACAAAATCACGGTATTTGGATTTAAGGCATTTCACTTAACCTTAATACTATTTATTAACAAGTTTGCTTTGACAGTAGACTTAAAATCTTTAAATTGTCTTCAAAAAGTAGAGTTTTATTTCGTTTTCGACCCGGAGGTCGAGGGAATGAACTTCTTCATCACTTCATTATAGTCTCACGCTTTCCTTTGAAATTAATTTAGATTTGTCATCAAATCCGTCAGTGCATTTTTTACTACATCATCAGATTACTAAAGTGTCCCCAACCTAACGTAATCAATCAATGAATCAATTACAGAGATTTTATATAATATAACATTTCTGGAAACTTATACGTATGTTATATATACGGCCTATAGATATTTTAGCTAAAATGCAATGGCAAAATAAATAGCTTAGTTAAAATACAGGTCGTCCCCCAAAAAGTTGTGCAAGCAGATACCCTTTAATTTCTCCAAAACTATTTAACCCGAGTATTTCATCCGAGTTGATGGAGTATATTAATTTATACTCTTGTGTATATTCAGCAAAAATGCCATTCCATGGAAATCCGTTCTTGCAAACCAGAGTTCTAACATAATTATTATAAAAGGCAATGGGTTTTTCACTCATTCCAATGGGATGGGGTTTACACAGTTAACTTAATTTACATCACAGTGGAAAGGCCATGACAATCTGATGCACTGATATTACTAACTGTGTAAATCACATTGGAAAGGGTAAAAAAACAATAGCCCTTTACAATCTGTTATGGATCTCTGGTTTGCATGAACGGATATTGGCATTTTCACAGATTATACGCAAGAGTAGGCCTATAATTAATATGCTCCATCAAGATAAAAAATACTCGTGTTAAGTAGTTTTTGAGAAATTAAAGGATATCTGTTAGCACAAGTTTTTTTGGAACACCCTGTACAAGCGCGTACGTGTGAAATTAGTGTAGAATCCTCTCGGCTGGTTCGTAACGTTATAAACAATGCTCAAGAGCTAGTTTGGTCGACCAATATAGTGTGGCGGTTATTTTTTAGAAAGGATTTTGAGAAGAGAGTTTACATTGCGAAACAATTGGTGCTTATTTATATCTTCTTTTCTATTGTATAATCTTGTCGATCGCTGAAACTTGCATGTGTACCCGTCGTTAAAAAAATGTTCTATAACTTTTAGTTAAACATGTTTGAAAATTCGGTTCAAAAGCATTAATGTAGTATTTTTCCAGAATATTTCTTTAAAAGACCTGCATTTAACTCCTTTCAAATTCCGTGTTATTCAGCGCAGCTATACGTCGATTTTGCACCACAAATGAAACAGTGGAATGATCACATATTGTGTGATAAATGTTCACCAAGTTCCACTCTTCCTCGATTGTTATGCCGCAGACTTTCCAAAAATAACTGTTGCATTTAGTTAACTTCATTCCTTGACGCGATTCCGTTGCCCGGCCTATAGGCCCAGTGCGCAAGGCTAATTATGTAAAGTGTCCTCGGGACAGACAGATATATCATTGTACTCGATGAAAATGATTCCGTGTCACTTACTCTACATGTCACTTTGCTTCTACATGTAAAAAACAAGACTCGACTGCCGTATTATGTTTTTCTTCAAGGGGAGAGAAACACAAATCGAAGTGCAGTATCAGATGTGGAATGTTATTGCAAATTTGCAGGCGCAGTTTGAATATATTCGTTAATTTTGTTCCCCCATTCACAAAGCAATTGTGCGTCGGATTTTAAAATTCTTCAGACTTCCATATGTGCATACGTTTAATTTCATGCACAATGGTGTTATTCTCCCGTCGTCGTGAGTGTTTTATTGTTAAATATAAATCATGTCAATAGAATATATCTCTAGTACACGACAGGTTGATTTAATTACAAATCGGCTTTTGTATTTTTTTATTTTACTTCTTCAGTTGCAGCGGGAACTGTTTCATAGGGAGTATTGTAATTTTGCTAATGGGACGCCGTACAAGGTTACTGTCTTTGTTGATATCGACTGGCTCATATTGCTCTCAAGATAAATTGTACAGAGAACTGTTTCGCCAGAAGTCATTTACATATCCGCTGATATTCACAGGAAGTGCAAATGACGAGCCGATACTGACACTTTCAGGAAATGAATACGATTAAGGACTTGCCAGAAATTCATTTTTCCCTTTCAGTAAATTTGAAATATATTACTTTTTGTTTATACTTTAAAAGCACTGTAAGTCGGAAGTGGGGTGAATTAATTTGTCATAAGAAGTATAGAATAATTATCATCTATTTAATCATAAGTGTTAATTCAAATTGTATTTTATTGTAGAGAAAATATTTTTTCTACACAAAGAATCTCTTTTAAGTGTTGGTACTATACATAATCAGCATGTCTATGGAATATATCATCTTTTCGTGGTTGCGTATTAATTTTGTCATTATTTCAAGAGGCTTGCTAAGAAATAATATTGGCTTCGAGATGCACAAAGACGTATATGTCAATTTAGAACTTTTTGCATTGAATAAAAATCGGAGATTTTTTCTCAATTTTCCGAATACTCTGACCGTGGTTCGCTTTCTGTTGTATTTTTTGGGGTGTTGGGATTGGTTGCAATCGGCTTTTCCAAACCTTCGGAAGTTAACTGTTCGTCATATGAAATTTGTATTTTTCTAATGTTTTTGTAATATTTTCACGTTTTACATAAATCTCCTCGTACAAGATCTATGGGCCCATTGGTGTCATTTACAAGAAAAAAATAGATTTCAACCCTGTTAATTTAATGGTATGGTATATCATTTGTCATTTGGTCCTTTTTCTTCGTTTAAGCAACAAAAGTGCTCAAAATCTAAAAACGGGTGCTTAACGACTAATCTAATGAAGGTGTAGCTCTGTGAATGCTCTAAATATTAAGAGAAAACAATATTCTAGGATCTCAGTTTCAATTCAAAAGTTGCCGAGTCATGTTTTGAATTTGGCCCGAAATCAGCGTCCGGGACGCATTCCCGTTCAGCCGATTGCAGCTACGCGATGTCACGCGCTGAACTGACAGCATTGATGTCACAGCAAACGCGCACATGACTTTGTGTGCGTCGAGTCAACGCTTGCGCGGACCCATTCAGGGATTCGCCGAATTACAAAACCAACTACTATCGGAAATTTCCAACAATGTGTCACTTGACGCATCGTTGGAAATTACCTTCCTTTTTTTTTTATTGTTTTCTTCAAAATGACAGCATGCCAGAAGGAATAATTGCACAGGGAAGTGCCATTACTACCAACCGGTGTACTAGAGTATCAGTTTCTTTAAACTAAGTATGCTTATGAACAATAATTTTGCCAGTATCTTTCTGGATAGCTGCAAATGATATACTCTGCCTTTAAAGACCTTATGCGTTGCAGGTATCTCAGTGGGTGTTCTTTGTTATTTTTATTTAGTAACAGTGAATGCCAAAAGGGTTTACTCACGCCCATCCACGCAATACAAACCCACTGCCCTCTGACTCCGCCTTAATGTATAAGGTATATACATCTCAGTCGCTTAGGTGCCAATGCATGCACCTGTCTTCGTATTACAGGTCGAACCATTCTTTATGTGCAAGGTATCCTGACATTTTCTTGTTCAGATATTTTGTATTCGCCTCACCCATCCCAACTGACCGCTAGATCTATGAAATTTCAGCTAGAATCCAAAATGAAATTATTTTCCCGACCGGTGCCCGCGGCCGCAAGGAATAATATCCCTTCAATTGAATTACCGAAGTGGAAAATCCTAAGCGCAGCACGGCCATTGCGCCACTTCCACAGTAGAGAGGTTGCAAATATGTGATAATGACGTTTTTGGGGGAGAAAACACTGGCCGAATTATCTGTGAATATTTTCTGGGGAAAAAAGACAAAATACCTGAAACGAACCGTCTCTTGTGAAGACGAAACTGCGCTGAAAACTAAGTGTTGCTTCGCTGAAAACACTCGTGGAAATTTAATGCTATTGATTTCATCTCCAGAAGAAAACTCGTCCTTTTTTTTGGCTCGGAGATCCGCTTAAAAACACCGAATCTTCACATTTGTATTAAACTTGAGAGGAATGACCTCACATCGTGGGCTATCGAGTCAGCGTAAACGAGTCTTAATTAAGTTGGACAAACGACTTCATTTCCTTGCCGAAACTGTAAATGAGTTTTTTTTCTCGATGCGCCTTGCAGCATCGCCTCTCGAACGTGCCTTGTAGTGATGACTTTTATTACGCCCGTGTGCATTGTAGAACGTTTCTCATACAATATTCTTTACTCGTTAGAATCTCAAGGTTCTGAAGAATTGATTTCAAAGAGTTAGGCCTACTCCTTATCAAGGATATTATCTCTCCCAAAGTAGATTTTTTTAAAGAGCAGAATAAACCATCAAAAGAAATAATCCGTTAAATTTATTTGTTTTGCTGGTTTGTTTAATCCTACGCGTTCCACTTGAAATAGTCGGATACGAATTGTAAGTCTATAGTCTTTGGTTGAAATGGCTAGACTCCTTAATTCATACCATATCCGATCAACCCTATGATGTCGATTTATTCCGAGGTGCACGGTGCAGTAAACGCGTTTCTTCCATCGCAAAGCCTATTTCGTAATAGTAAATAACATCTAATATCCAATGGACTGAAATGAGACTTCGCAACCATTGCTTGTGGTGTTATTGCCATAGGAATTCTGCATCATATCAGGTTGATATCAGTAGTTGAGCGC